TTCGACCCCCTGAAAGCCAACCAGTCTATGAGTCTACCCCAAACACCTTGACCGTATTCGCCCACGCCGCCTCGCACACCTCCTCTCACAGAGACCCCTGATGCCGCACGATCTTGGCAATCGCTCAATCGTACATGGCTCATTCCGCCCTTGACATGCGCCCTCTTCCCACTTCTCCTTCTTGACACCTTGTACCGCTCGGGAACCTCAGACTCTTTCTTCTGGTTCTTCTTGGCTTGTTGCTGTTGTTGTTGCGGCTTCTTCTGTCTCTGTCTCCGGTCCGGCTTCACTGTTTCTCCTTCAGCTCCAGAGGTAGCCGTGGGATCCGCAGCCACAGCCTCGGTTTCGGCAGCAGCGGCAGCAGCGGCAGCAGCAGCTTCGGCTCGGCAGCAGCAACAGCTGCCGCCGCCGCCTCAGCCTCAACCTTCGCCTTAACCTCCCACTCCACAAGATACCTCCACCCCTCATGCGTCGGCCTGACCTCGCACCACGGCCCATCCGTCTCAATCATCAACCGATCCAGCCTCACCTCCCTCACCACCTCACAATTCTCCACCGTCTTAAAACTGCACCCATTAATCCCAATATACAACCCCAACCCCATCAGCTCGCGCATCTCCTCCGCCGTGCCCGTGAAACTGTGCACCACGCCCCCCTTCTCCAGCCGCTCCAGCCGCGGACCAAAGGCCTCCTGCAGCAGGCGCACAAAGTCGGCGTGCGCGGCGCGCGAGTGCAGGAAGAGGGGCAGCTGCGGGGTGAGCGAGGCGGCGAGCTGGAGCTGCGCTGCGAAGGAGTGTAGCTGCACTTCTTTGGAGCAGTAGTGCAGCCGGTCGTAGTCGAGGCCGAACTCGCCGAAGGCGACGAGCTCTGCGGCGGGGGGTGTTGCTGCTGCTGTTGTTGTTGCTGCTGCTGCGGGCTTGGGTGATGAGGTCGGCGAGGTCGGTCATGATCTTGGCGCTGCGGGCGTGGTCGACGCCGTCGCCGTCGAGGATCGGCTTGGTTGGGTCCGGGCCGCAGGCCGGGGTGTGTTCGGCCTCTTCTCCGTCCTCCCCCTCGCTCTGGCTCTCGTCGTGGTGTTTGTGGTGGGTGGAGCTGAAGATGGAACTGCTGCAGGGGTGGATGCCCGCGGTTGCGAAGACGGTGCCGGCTGTTCCAGCGAGAGTGTTATGTTAGTCGGTCTGGTTGTGATAGGGGGTGGAACTTGAGATTGTGTGATGGGGAGACGAACGGAATTCCTTGGCGAGTTTGAGTGCGTCCCTCGAGCTCTTGAACGACGAGCCCGTCACGATGAGTTTGGAACACCCAACCTCAATGGCTCTCCCCACGACCCCCTTGAGGTCGTCTGGGTGCCGTGATTTGCCATGGTAGCGGCCCCGAAAAATGGGGTCTGCCAAGTTGATGCCGATCTGGAAAACGAAGTTGAGAATTAGGGCGTATTCTGTGGAATGTGATATTTTGGAATCTTACATCAATGTATCGAGGCGTGTAGGTGGTTGCGGGAGGTATATTCGATGTTGTCGAGACACCGTTTGACTGGTTGGTATTGGGTTCAGCCATTTTGGATTTGATAGTTGTGGTTGTTGCAAAACGGGACAGGTTTCCCAGGGTCGATGGACTGGCAAGTGAAATCCGTGAAAGCCGTGATATTGAGGTGAAAGGTCTGAGTCTCATACTCAGCCAGGTCCGGTATTTATGACCTCTTTCCCGACCTTGAATTGCTCCTATTCTGAGAGTTTGACTCACAAGTTGTCCTCACTTGAACTTAGCCTCCGTCCTCAAAAGCACCGTCTCAGGCTGGCTTGGCATTCGGGCGTTTGCATCTGAATCTCGGACAGGGGCAAGCAGCCACCCCAGACAAACGGACTCGACCAACCCCACACTTAAGAATATGGTTACATAAGTTGACCTTGCGATTTGTAACCTCGTAACCCCGAATCCAAAACGGCCTGAGAAGGAGATGCTCGGAGATGGGATTCGAGACGAGACCCAAATCTTGCCCAATGGCCCATGGCACTTGCCCTGCATGCTCGCTGCTGCCTGAGACCCCAGGTCAACTCCAGGGATTGGTAGGGGTCCGCATGTGTGCATGGTGGGGCATCAACGGCACAGCGGCGTGCAGTGGCACAGTGGCCCAAGCTCGGGCTGTTTGTTTAATAGGCGGGGCTGCAACGACGCGCCAAAAAACTGTCGGCACGCGTCAGACGCGGTCCACAGCCCAGCGCCTTAAAAGAGTGCAGAGCAAGAGCGTGTTTTCTCCTCCCTTCCACATCCTCCACACAACATCACCCGACTACATCACGAAAAGGCTTGACGTAACGCGGCCTTCTTTCACACTTGACCTCATCCACAGCCCAGACCAGCAGTGGAAAGTCACTCTAGTTACCTTTTGACGTCCATCTTCACCCCGCCCTCCTTTTTTATTACCTTTGTCTCTTACCTTGTCCGACACATCCGACACCATGTATGTCAGAAAGCGCGGTATGTGTGCACCTGATCACGATATCAGGGTTGATGGTACTGACTTTGCTATCCAGACGGGCGTCAGGAACGTGTCCAGTTCGACAAGATCACAGCACGTGTCTCAAGGCTCTGCTATGGCCTTGATGTCGACCATGTCGACCCTGTTGCCATTACCCAGAAGGTCATCTCGGGCGTGTATGGTGGTGTCACAACTGCCCAACTCGATGATCTTGTAAGCTCTCTCGGAAACCCAAACCCCTCTTTTTTTCAAGCCAATTGCTCACTCGTCGTCTCCAGGCTGCTGAGACTGCTGCGTACATGACAGTCACCCACCCCGACTACGCTATCCTGGCCGCCCGTATTGCCGTTTCCAACCTCCACAAGCAGACAAAAAAGCAATGGTCTGCCGTTGTGAGCGACCTCTACCACTATGTGAATCCCAAGAATGAGCGGGCATCTCCAATGATTGCCAAAGAGACATACGAGTGTGTCATGCGGCACAAGGAGGAGCTTGACTCGGCCATTGTCTATGACCGGGACTTCAACTACCAGTACTTCGGCTTCAAGACCCTAGAGCGATCATACCTACTGAAGCTCAACGGCAAAATCGTTGAGCGGCCACAGCACATGATCATGCGTGTTGCCGTCGGCATCTGGGGAGACAATGTGGAGCGTGTCATCGAGACATACAACCTCATGTCCAGCAAGTTCTTCACACATGCTTCTCCCACCCTTTTCAACGCTGGTACCCCTCAGGCCCAGCTGTCATCTTGCTTCCTGGTCGATATGAAGGACGACAGCATTGAGGGCATCTACGACAGTCTTAAGACTTGCGCCATGATTTCCAAGATGGCGGGTGGTATTGGTCTCAACATCCACCGCATCCGTGCCACTGGATCCTACATTGCCGGCACCAACGGCACTTCCAATGGCATCATCCCCATGCTCCGTGTCTTCAACAACACCGCCCGCTATGTTGACCAGGGTGGAAACAAGCGTCCCGGTGCCTTTGCCATCTACCTTGAGCCTTGGCACGCCGATGTCTTCGAGTTCCTCGACCTCCGCAAGAACCACGGCAAGGAGGAAGTTCGCGCTCGCGATCTCTTCCTGGCCCTCTGGATTCCCGACCTCTTCATGAAGCGTGTCGAGAAGAACGGAGAGTGGACGCTGATGTGCCCCAACGAGTGCCCTGGCCTTGCCGATTGCTATGGCGACGAGTTCGAAGCCCTGTATGAGAAGTATGAGAAGGCCGGCCGCGGTCGTAAGACTATCAAGGCCCAAAAGCTCTGGTATGCCATCCTCGAGGCTCAGACCGAGACCGGCAACCCCTTCATGCTCTACAAGGATCACTGCAACCGCAAGAGCAACCAGAAGAACCTCGGTACCATTCGCAGCTCCAACCTGTGCACTGAGATCATCGAGTACTCGGCGCCCGATGAGGTTGCTGTCTGCAACTTGGCCTCGTTGGCCCTACCCCAGTTTGTCGACTACAACCAGGGTGTCTATGACTTCCAGAAGCTGCACGAAGTCGCCCAAGTCGTGGTCCGCAACCTGAACAAGATCATCGATGTCAACCACTACCCGGTCCAGGAGGCGTACAACAGCAACATGCGCCACCGCCCCATCGGTGTCGGTGTTCAGGGTCTGGCCGATGCTTTCCTGGCGCTGCGCATGCCTTTCGAGTCTCCCGAGGCTCGTGAGCTGAACAAGCAAATCTTCGAGACCATTTACCACGCGGCCCTGACCGCCTCGTGCGATCTGGCAAAGGAGCAAGGCACATACTCGACCTATGAAGGGTCTCCTGTGTCCCAGGGCATTCTCCAGTACGACATGTGGAACGTCACACCGACCGGCCTCTGGGACTGGGACGCTCTCAAGGCCAAGATCAAGGAGCATGGTGTCCGGAACAGCTTGCTCCTCGCGCCCATGCCGACCGCCTCGACGTCGCAAATTCTGGGTAACAACGAGTGCTTCGAGCCCTACACGTCCAACATCTACCAGCGTCGTGTGCTAGCTGGTGAGTTCCAGGTTGTCAATCCCTGGCTCTTGAAGGACCTTGTCGATATGGGCCTCTGGTCCGACAACATGAAGAACCGCATCATCGCCGATGGTGGTTCGATCCAGAACATCCCCAACATCCCGACCGATATCAAGGCTCTCTACAAGACTGTTTGGGAAATCTCCCAGCGCACTGTCGTTCAGATGGCTGCCGATCGTGGTGCCTTCATCGATCAATCCCAGTCGCTCAACATCCACATGCGTGAGCCGAGTATGGGCAAGATCACCAGCATGCACTTCACCGGCTGGAAGCTGGGTCTCAAGACGGGCATGTACTACCTCCGCACCCAGGCTGCCGCCCAGCCCATTCAGTTCACCGTCGACCAAGAGGCGCTCCGCGTCCAGGACACCAACGTCAGCAAGGGAGTGTCGGGTCTGAAGAAGCGCGCCCCCCCGGCGGGCAGCTACATGTCGTCACCCTCGGCGGTGCCACGCCCCATGGCGTTTGTCAATAAGGAAAGCACGCCCAAGAGCAATGGTACCAACGGCGTTACTACTCCCACCACGCCGCCTCCCATGGCCCCGACCGTCAATGACGTCAAGGCTCGCATCCTCGCTTCGCCGTCAAAGCCGCCTGCTTTCAAGGCCGACGTCGACGAGGGTGAGAGCCCCAAGACTCTGCCTACCGAGCCGACGGAGAAGCCTAAGCCGGAGGACATTGGGTCGCCGGTGCTCGCTTCCAAGAAGGACGCCGAAGACAAGGAGGACGAGAGCAAGGAGCGGGAGCTGGATATCTACTCTGAGGCCGTTATTGCTTGTAAGTTGATCACCTGCAAAGCCCCGGTTTCCGATGAGGATGCTAATCAAGACGTTTACAGGCAGCATTGAGAACCCGGAGGAGTGTGTTATGTGCAGTGGTTGAGTGTGTTGACCTGGATGCGGATGAGGCATGGCGAAATGTAGTGTGACGATGGGATTAATACCTGGCATGATTTGGTTTTGCGGTTTGCGTTATGATTTTGTTTTTATGGATCAGCATTGGCATATGCGGGCACCCTCACGCCGCGGGCCGTTCATTGCATGGACGGGCGTACACGGCGGATAGGAGGGGCGTCAATGATATGCCCTAGGCTTTCTCTGGGCGGGTGTTGGATCAAGGGTTTCTCGGTCTGTCCTCGATTTGTTTGTCCCGAGGATGTTTCGCTAGATGTACCACCACAGCAACGGGCGGCGCTTGCGCGCATCGTTGTTTAGCTGTTCTGCTAGGTTGCCTATTTATACCCCTTACATCACAATGTTCCACCACGGTGAAGAGGACGGCGACGGCCTCGCGCGAAGGGGAGCACATGGCGAATTGAAGTTGATGATAACTCCGTCGCCGCTCGCTGCATGACATAACAGAAGAGCGATGATATGCACCCCACCAAGGCATAAGCACACACATACGTAGGTACCTACATGCATGCAAGTCCCTCTTCATAACAGACAACATGTGTGTGAGAAAAGAACCTCAACGGGGCAAAAAGATCAAGCCAGACAGAATGAGTGCGTCGCACCGCCTGCCTGTCGGTATCAGTGTCAGTTCATGTCACGCCAGGCGGGGCGTTGGTGAATCGCTGTGCGATGCTTCCAGACGAGGTTGGAGTTTCATTCTGTATGTCTGTATGACCAGCCCGTCGGTCGTGATGGATTGATGGATTGACGCAAAGTCGAACAAACCGAAACTGTGCTGCCCGCGCTGTGCTGGGAGCCCGGTGCTGGGGGAGGAGAAGGTGTGGGAGGTGGGAGGTGGGAGGTGGGAGGCTGGTTGTCATGCCATGCATTCCCCACAATCTCTCTCTACAGACAGCCAGCAGTGGCTTGCTGGCTGGGGGGCCACAACAACAACACAACAGCACAGCAACGCAGCACAGCACAACACACTACTGAGACAACGCAGCGCATCGCAGCACGGCAGGGTACGGCACTAACGACGCGCACGGAAACACACACTCACACACATGCGCGCATCAGGGAGATTTTGTGAGACACGACGCTACCCCCACAGCTAACTAGTGGGAAATTTGTTGGTGGCAAAAGGTCCGTCGTTGTCGTTCGTCGTCACAAAGCTGCCCGCTTGCCGCGCATTCGCCCTAAACCACGATGGGACGGGGGGAAAGCCACAGCACGAGTGGCCGCGCAAGGCATGTCTCACCCGAAAGGACGTACGGGCGGAGGGAGGAGGAGGAGGGGAGAGGCCCAGAGGGGAGAAAGAGGGGGGTGGGAGGGGCTGGCTGGTGGTGCGGCGCGAGTGCTAGTGACGCTAACTCATGCAGGTAGGTAGGTATGTACATACCACAAGGAGAGAGAAGGTGCGAGCCGAGGGAGGTTGTTGGGAGGGTGGTTATTGGGGGAGCTGTCAAATTAGGGGAGGTGGGCTGAGATAATGAGGTTTCTCATTGGGTAGGCGTCGTTTCCGGGGCTGGATTTCTATGATCCGGCTATCGAAAAGGGAGGTTGGTATTCGTTGTTAACTCAGCTTCTTGCTCTTCTTGTTGATTGATTCTCAAGATGTGCGCTGACGTCGATGGGGCCAGGCACGTCTGCCAAGTGTTTTTAAAAACCCCCACCTTTTCTGCCAGAGGCCCCAGAAGGTGCCACAGCCGATTCGAAGTGTGGGCCCCCGATCGGGTTTCCTGTTTGACCGCCGAAGAAGTTAACATCACCCCCGCCGCGGTGGGAACTTCTTTGGGCCAACCCGCAGAATGAAAGGAGGTTCGGTTGTTTTCTCTAATGAACCCGTCGGGGTTGGTGAAGCCGTTTCTACCGGCCTCGCCCCCTGACCTGAATGTCGGTAAGGAAAAGTCGAAACTCGAACTGTCCGTGTCGATCTGGGGTTTCCCGGTTTTTTGCTGTGCCAAGGTCCCCATCTTTACCCAGCGAAGCCCCAGCTGCTCTGGGGTTCACTCTGACCGGGGCTTCCCTGCCGCAGACGTGGGAACATGCAGAATCAATTCCGTCAACCAATGGGGTGCTGCCACCACCGGGGCCGACCAAGATCTCGACGACATTCCCCGATTTCAATGCGTCAGTATGGCCCGAGAACCAAAAAGACTGTGGGCTCAGTGCTGCCCGCGACCCAGCTACCGATGCACGTGCAAAGCTAAATTCCCTTCCTTCAGCCGTAGTGGAGCAAGGTTATCTGAGATGCATGGATGTCTCCTGTCTTGGTCTTGGTTGTCTCTTCTCTGTGGCAACGAATTTTTCCCATGCACTAACACAGTAGCTGGCAGGCAGTGGAGACGCCGCCGTCATATCGGACGAACACAGCTTGCGCAACGTCGGACCAGTTACATCCAAGAACTTGCCTCCCAGCCGGCGAACCGAAACCACCAAGCTTCGAGAGGCAGCCCGACGAGCAAGCCGCCGTCGAGGGGGCCATCCAATGCATTGCGAATGGCCCGCCACAGGTCTTCATTTCCCTCTGTCACTCGATAGCGGCGTTCCAACTTGCTAGTTTTGCTAGTTCCTAAGGCACCGCATGGGTTACCTTCCCCAGTGGTGCCCGCCCAGAACACACAACATGGCCCCCCCATGTGGCTGCATATCGGGCCGTGATGTGGCAGACGGGATCCCCAGTCCCGCCATGGCAACCTGCCTGGACTCATCAGCGCCGTGTTGCCGAGTTCGGCTGCTCTTCCAAACAAGGCATCGAACGGGAAACGCATCAGAGCGTAGCGAGGCGAATTCGGGTAACTCCAGGTGACGAGGGGACTTCAGCAGGTAGGTTCCTTGGTACCTACCTTCCGGGTGGCTGTAAATGTGAGAGGTTGGCAAGGTTGGTTGCCAGCTTGTCAAGGCCCAGAGTGGCCAGGCTTTCCGTTGCACTTTCCCGATATTGTGGAGAAACGAGCTACAACAGCTTTGGGGCAGGTTCGGTGAGATCATGGTCCACTATTTGTTTAATTCTACCCGGGAAGGAACGATCGTCCTCCCTCCCACGAAAGACCTCGTTGCTGTGACGCGACTTCCCTCGCAATATAAGCCCTGACAATTTCCCTGTGTGTCCTCTCGGCTGTATCCCCCTCTCGCACTTTCCATCAATTTCTTTCCGAGAAGTTTCGCATAACACGCGACTTTAGTTGATTTCTAACTAGCTTCCATCCAACCAACCCTCACTCTCGCATCGCCGATCTAGTTGAACTCGTTCTCACGACTCATATCAAACCAAATCGACTCGAAACTACCCGTACCAACCTTTCAAAATGAAACCAGCATCACCGCATCTCGCCTGGCTGGCCGCTGTCACCGTGAACGCGGTCGACTTCCCTTCCAACATGCCGTGAGTGCGGTGTAAGTTCCCCTTAAGCATGCTTCCTCCCGGCGTGTGCGCGTCCTCGCTGCATATCCCCCCATATTAACACGCCCAAATTTTAGAGAACCTGTGGCAAGAATATGCTCGAAAAGGCTGCCCGAATTCAACTGCAGCAAAGACGACATTGCTTGCATGTGCAAGGCCACCGACTGGAACAACGGCATCCGCGACTGCTCGGTCGAGTCCTGCCCGAGCATCGACCAGGCCAACGTGGTTATCAGCTGGGGCAACAGCCTCTGCTCAGGCGTTGGTGTCACTACCGCTGTCGTCCCCACTGCTACCAGCGTTAAGGTGAGTACTAGCCCCTCCCCGGAAATTGATTAGAATCCAGCCCACTAATATCCCAATTCAGAGCTCTGGAAGCACTTCGGGCGCCCCCGCGACCAACACGGGTGATGCCGACAGCACCTCGACTGGCTCTGGTTCCGACAACGATGCTAGCGAGACTGGCGATGCTACTGCCATTACCACCAGCACCTGGACCTCGACCTTCACCAGCGGCGACGCTACCAGCACCGTCACTGGCACGACCACCATCTCGGGTGTCAACGGCGTGCCGGGCGCTAGCGATGTCCCCGAGACCACTGGCACTTCGCCCATCGTCTCGACCCACACTGACGAGTCGACGACTTTCGAGACCACCATCGGCTCGACCACCTTCACGTCCAGCGTCACGGGCGATGCCCTGACCAGCGCCCTGAACAGCCAAGCCTCGGATGCCGCCTCGAGCACCAGCAGCGCTGAGGCAAGTCAATCCGTCATGATTCCTCTGGTCCAATGCTAACGAGATTTGTAGGGCGCCCATATGACTGCGGCCCCGGCTATTGGCTTCCTCGCCGCTGCCGGTATCGCGGCTGCCTTCCTCTAAGCCTGCCCCGACTTTTGTGGGGTTTGCCTCGATATTCTGACGATTTGTTTTGATCGACCTTTACGATTGCACGACAACTGGGGCAGACGGACGGGCGGTACCGATCTTAATGACTATTGGCACATGGTTACGTATGGAAGCCCCGCGTTTATGGCTGTTCTTTTGCTTTGATATCCCGTCGATATGTCTACAGTTTGCTGTGGGGCATTGTTTCATTGTACATAATATGTAGAGCTGGGCGTTCCGAGATACCGAGAGATACCCATGATGGGTAGAAGTATGGTGGCTCCAGTGTTCTGCTCTAAATGACGGGCCCGGGGTTAATGGTGATGTTAGGTGCTGGGTACCCGAAATACAAAGGCATTCTCAATCTTGGCGATTCCGCAGTGCGAATGTTGGATATTGCTCGTGGCGTTTTACATGTGGGAATATTTAACGTGGCGCAGTTGAAACAGGCCAGTCGGTCTTCACGTAGCGACACGCTTCGTAAAGGTGTCTCAGAAAACCTCGAGTGGTTGTATTTTATCGGCCCGTGTCTTCTCATTTGACATGCAAATGGTTCTCTCTGTCGCTCACTGCCATGCTATCCTCCCCACCAAGACCAGCGGAATTGCAAGCCCAACAACGGCTACCAGCCCGGCCATCAACAACGACACCCCGGATACCCCGGGCGCCCTCTTCATCCCTTCAAAGATCCCCTCCAACCGCTCCGCCATCTGGCCCTCGGCAAACCTCCCCTCCACCCTCTCCACCCCGGCCCTCCCCATCCCCTCCAACTCCCCTTCCCCCATCTCATTCAGCACCCGATCCATCACGACGCTCCACGCCTCCGGCCTCTCGGGATCCCGCAACCACCCGGTCACTCCTTCCACCACCGTCTCCCGCGGACCCCCGCTGTCCGCCGCCAGCACCGCCACCCCGGCCAGCATCGCCTCCAGCGGCACGATCCCAAAGTGCTCGTTGCTCGGCGTGTACACCAGCAGCCGCGCCGTGCGCAGCAAGATGGCCTTGAGCGTCTGGGGCACGCTCAGCAAGAAGACGACCTCGGCCTGGTCGGTGCCGGCGTCGGCGCCGACGGCGGAGACGACCGTTTTGGCGGTGGCGTGGCGCAGGCCGAGCGACGACGCGAGCGCGGCGAGCTCGGCGTGGTAGGCTACGTTTTCGGCCACGCGCGGGTCGTAGCCGCCGGCGAGGACCAGTTTGGCGCGGTGGCGGCGGTGGGGGGGGCAGGAGTGCGAAGGCGTGTAGTGCGAGCGCGATGTTCTTCTTGCGCTCGAAGCGGTTGATGGAGAGGATCACGCCGTCTTTTTTCCAGGGGAGCGGGGAGGCGGGGGAGCTGGGCGGGGTGGTGTCGATGCAGGGGTATACCACGTGCAACTGCCGCCCGTTTGCTTTGCTGCTCTGCCCTTGCCCCCCTTTCCCCTCCCCCTGGGTGGGTTGTTGGACTAGCCCCGGCCAGGTCTGCGCGACAATGCCGCGCGTGAACTCGGAGTTGACGGCGATGGCGTCGGCGAAACCCATGCTCCAGCGCTCGAGCGCGTCGAACGGCACGCGGTAAAGGCGCTTGGCGAGGTGTGCGCGACCGCGCACGAGGAGCAGGTCGGGGAAGTGGCAGTAGAAGAAGATGGGTGCGGCGGTTAGGGTCTTGAGCAGAGGGAGCCCCGCGCTGAGCTGATCGACGAAGAAGGCGTCGGGTGCGAGATCGCGGAGCTCTGGGGTGAGGAGCGTGATGTGGATGATCAGGTGCAGCTGGCGCAGGATGGCGCACAGGATAGCAAAGCGGCCGAGGAGGGAGGGGGGGACAATCGTGTTGCCACGCACGCGCACATCGAGGGTGCCTGGTAAAGGGGGGGGTCCTCGGTTAGTGGTTACTGGTGTGTGGTAATGGGTAGGGTAGATGGGGAGTAGGTGGATGGGCATACCATCACGGGCCTCGTCGAAGCAGTGAGTGGGATCGCAGTGGCTCGTGAAGATGACCACTTTGTGTCCGCGCTTTTGCAAGCCTACTGCCGCGTCGACGACTAACCTCTCTGCGCCCCCAATCCCGAGATCAGGGTGCAGGAAGACTATTGTCTTGCCGGGTTTCTTGTCGTCGCCGGCCATGTTGATGAACATGCACAAACCATGACGTGGGGGTGGTTTGCGATGGATAGTTAGATGTGGTCAGAAGAAAGCTCCAATTCCAATTAGCATGCAGGTCCCGGCAGGCAAGACGTAACGTAATGACAGGGACTCCAGGCCGGGTAGTAACGAAGGATCCGGCAGATGGTAAGTTACTACAAGACATGTATCACAATACGCGCATATTTCCAACCTGTCAACCCCCTGACCAACTCCATCCATCACATGCCCGCCCTTCCTGCGCGACAACTCAGACACTTCCCATTCCCATCCCCCCGGATGATGCCCGGGCCCAGATCCGATCCGGCAACGGAACCGGACCTTCCTCCCCAGCCCTCGGACCCGGACCGGACACCAGGCCCAGCCCAGCCCGGCATACCCAACTCGGAAATCCCCCCCGGGTGTCACCGCCCTGCCTCCGTTTGATTCGCTCCGTTGCATTTGCATGCGCTTCTCTTCTCTTCTTTGGGGGAACCCCGACCCCAACCGTGGCGGTGCCAGCCCGCTAGCCAGCCAGTCAGCCAGTCGATTTCATGTCAGCGCCCAAAGCCCAGACCCAATCTCTGTAAATGCAGTAAAAGACCAAGCCCATTGTAAGCCAACGCCGAAGGGGTAAACCGCGCCGGAAATCACAAATGCCTATCCTGCTGTCCGACAACAACAGCAACCAACATATACACCCAACATACATCAAACAGCAAGTCAAGACCAATATCACCCAAAACAGACTAGACGATGGTCCCAAAAAAACCCACCATCCCAACATGGTGAAGTGCAGTTGTGGTTGAGTAGTGTGTGTGTGTGTGTGTGTGTGTCTGTGTATGTCTGTGAGGGCGCGTGTAGTAGTGTAGTGTAGTGTAGCGCAGGATAATCAACAACCTAACCAACAACCATATCATATCAGACTCAAACATAGGTAGCCAACGCCCTAACCCCCGCCCAAATCCCCGCCGAGAATGTAAATGCGGTAGTAAATGATCAAACCCGGGACATTGAAACTCCTCCCCCGCCGCCCGCCCGACCGTTCCCATGCATGCTCCCAAACCAAAGCAACCAAGGTAGAACCTCAAAACCCAACTCCACCCACCATGATATGTTGATATCCATGCATGCCGGTGTCAAAGTGCCGAAACGCAGTGGTAGAGTAGATAGTCTACCCGAACTAACCGAGCGAAGCGGCGCGACTCATCGGTGATGGGGTGTTTTTGTTTTGTTTTTGTTTTTTGCAAACGTCGCATGATGGAACGATCTATTCAATTCGCCCGCACATAGTTTAAAGGCGAATGGGCCGGCTAGTCGCTATCCACAAACATCTTCTTCGCAGTTTCGGTGCTGCCCACACTGGCGTTCGTGTTCCGCCGCCGCGCATTCCCAATAAGCCTTCCCACCCCGTGCGTCTGCGCTTGTGTGTCCTTGGGAGGCGTGGCAATAGCTAAACCCGAAGGCTCGCTCGGTTTTATTCTTGTGTCTCGCCATCGTCAATCCCTCATCGCTGTCGCTATCGTTGTTGTCGTCATCGTCTTCGTCGTGATGGCACCGGGAGCCCCTCCGACTCGTAGGAAGCCTGCCGCCTACTGGAGTGCGGACGCTAGAGCTGTCAAACTTCACAGGTACGGTCCCCTCGTCCTGCGCTTCTAACGGGAATCCGGACATGGGCTCCTTTGCAAACGCAGGCGGCGTGAGCGAATCGGTGGTGTCAATCACCGAAGGCCGGGCCACCATTCCCGGGTTGCCGAGGAACTCGCCCTCTGGGTCCGCCGAGACGGAGCTGGTGCTGCTGAGCAAAGCAGGCAGCGACGGGTCCGACTGGAACGCAACCATGCGGTCGGCCACCTCCTTGGTCATTTGGTTATTGAGTCCGTAGATGGGGCTCGCCGACTCGCTTGGGCTGGTCAATGGAGTCGTGAGCGCGCCCATCGACGTCGAGCTCGAGGATTTGCCCGTCGCAATAGTCTCACCCCTAGACAGGGGCATCGGCGGGAATGTGTCGTCATCTGGGGATGACGGGCATGGAGTGAATCCAGGCTCGGGAGTCGATGGCTTTTGCACCGCCTCGGCACGATGAGCCGTCACCGGCCTCTCCTGCAATACCACAAACCCGCGCTGCTTGTTGTGCATGTTTGGGTCTGATTTGAACTGGCCGCGTGGGTATCCAGAGAGGGAGCCCATCGATGGAGACACTGTGGCCGAGGAAGCATGCTCGGGGCCTTCCGTCACCTCGACCGACCGTACAGAGCGATGCTGCTGGTTGAAGTGCACATTTCCCGGGGCCATAGCGGTGCTCAGCGCCACTCTAGCTTCGGCACGTTTATCATTGCTAACAAATAAGCCGCGATCAACCGATCGGGCTCGACCAAGATCGTCTGCGTTTGACTTGATATCCCGGGCTTTTCTGAGCGCACTACTCGGGTCGTCCACAGGGCTGTCGAAGAGAGGTGTGGGCGGGAGCGTCTGCGTTTCGACTGGGGTAGGCGTGAGAGCTAAAAAAGCGTTCGTGATAGACTTGGATTGCCCGTGTCGAGCCGATGCTCGATGCGGGGAGGCGGATGCCTGCCGAGTCCAGTGGTCTTCCCTCCCAGTGAGCGTTGTGAGCAGCTCAAGCGGCTTGCGAGGCCCGCGGCTATTGGCTGACGATGACTGGTGTAGCGGAGACGAGACGGGAGGTGACCCAGTCACAGGGCTGGCTAATACGCTGTGCGTGAGGGGATGCCCGCCCGTTTGCTGAGGGGGGGTGGAAAAATAATCATCGGGGCGTAGGCTTCTTCGTCGGGTATCGCGTAGATGGGGTGTTATTAGGTTGGTGATGTCGCCCGCCGAACTAGCGGCGCTGCTAGCAGCGCGCCGGCGAGATGAGACGCTCTCTGTACGGTCCCCACGGGGGTGCATCACCCTGCCCACCGCTTTCTTAACCACGGATCTTGCGCGCTCCATCAAGCTCAACGGGACAACGGCACGGGCCATATCCTTCTCATCAACTTGGATCTTCTTGCCCGACGCCTTCCTCGAGGGGTCCGTGTCGTCAATCCACGACATGATATCCACGCCATGCATAACCCAGGGGTGCCGTTTCACGTCGCGCAGCCGAATCCTCTTCTCGGGGTTCTTAGTGAGCATCTTCTTTAAGAGGTCTTGAAGATCAGGCTCGATATCTTCGTAGGTGAGCTCGTCATCATCACGGTATGGTGGTTTGTTCACTCGAGTGTAGAGAGACTTCTCGCTAGGTTTGGTGGCCGGGTCGACAGGCCGAAGCCGCCGGTTCGGGATGTATACCTCCTCATTTGCAATCTTCTTGAACATCTGCCACTCGTCCTCGGCCAGGAACGGTAGACGAGCATAAATCAGGCAATACAGCGTGACGCCCAATGACCAGACGTCGATTTGCTCGGTGATCTTTGGCTGCTGCCCAGGAGGAGCGTCGAAAAGGTCGGTAGCGCAAAGTTCGGGAGCAAAGAAGGCGGGTGTGCCGACCGTCTTGGCAAGCTCGAGATCATTGTCGAAGTCCCGTGCCTCGGACTCGGAAATGGTATCGTCGGGCTCTCCTTCGCGAACAGGCCGGCCAAAGTAAGAGACACCAAAGTCGGCGATCTTAGACCTCTTATCCTTGGTCCAGAGCAAGTTCGCTGGCTTGATGTCCCGATGGACTACACCTTCGTAATGCAAGTACTCGAGGCCTAGGACAGTATCTCGGAAGGTATTCCTTGCCTGCTCCATGGTAAAGCAGGGCACGTACGAAAAGTCGTCGACATACGGATCGTGGACCTTGTTGAAGTCGAACGAGGACAAGTGGGACATGAGCGAGTCCGCCATGCTGGGAGATCTTCCCCGTAAGGCAGGATCCTCGACATAAGGGCCGTACATGGTCCCATCTAGCACGGTGGACGAGCCGGGCTTGGATTTGATAGGCAGAGCGCCGGGTGTCTCTAGGTCATCGTTGTCGGCGGCTAGCGGGGAATTCGGATCGGCGGGGTTTGTTAGGGACTTGGTTGATTGTGACCGAGATGGAGCCCGGGAGGTCGCTCTTGATCCTGCAAGAGAGCTGGTGTTCGATAGAGTCGGACGGATAGCCGATAGACCCGTATCGTCCCTCCCGAGCGAACCGACGTGCGAGTCGAGCTCCTCATCGTCCGCAGCGCCGTACTCGAGGCTCCAGTAGTCGGTCGAGGGCCGCTGAGCGCGGGCTCGCAATCTCGCGCGCTGCGCATCCTTAGCGGCCTGGCGTTGCAAGAGAAGGCGCTCGAATCGGTCCTCTTCGGGCGTCGCTTTCACGCCCCGTGTCTCACGTTCGATACGGCGACGTTCATATTCGCAAATATGCGGAAGTCCCTTCTTTCTCCACACGACCTCACCCAGCTCGACGTGTTCCAACACCATGTAGATCTTTTTCAGCTCAGGGTCATCGATGACCTCGAGCAAGGCGACGACATTTGGGTGGCGGATCTTCTTAAGAATGGCAATCTCCTTCTTGCTCTTATCCTGGGTTGACATGGCCATGACCTTGCCAAGCCGCCGTTTTTTGGAGAAGCGTGGGATGATCTTGATGGCGACGAATTCGCCATTCTCGGCATTTCTGGCAAGCTTGACCTTGCCATGAACACCGCGGCCAAGCTCCTCAATGATTTCGTAATTATTGATGTGCTTCCTGCCGGTCGTGTAGTCATGCTCGACATTTGCTTTGTGTGTCCTGTGCGAGACAGTTTTCAGCGTTCCAGTACGCAAGAGCATGTAGACTAACAGACAATCTGCCCCGCTCGTCTTCTTGCGTGCCATCCACCGTGGGACACGCGAAAGTCGGGATGGTAAATCAAGAAACTTACTCTCGGACCTTGTGGCCATGCAGCGGATGCAAATAAGGGCTGTGGCCGTTTGAACCCCCCGGCGTCGCCGTCTCGGAGCCGGGCTGCGACGACGAGACTATGCTGGGGCGGGGCAGGGCCGGGCTGAAGAGTCCCGGGGAGGACACCGGGGTGCTATTGGCAGTTCGGGACGGAATATGCGACGGTGGAGGAGGCAGGATGTTGTGAAGACGAGGGTGCGAGGGCCGATGGAGCGGCTGTCGTGGCGGTTGAGATTCCATCGTGGTGGCAATTTGGTCGAGCACGGCGTGGGAAGACCCTCATGCTGGAAACCGTTGTTGCTGTGCAATCTGCGGGGACTGCCAGGCGCTACAGATGTCGGTCGACGGCAATTCGAGCTGCATTCAAACGGACATTTTTGTCGTTTAGTAAGGCGGTGCTTACAAAAGGAAAAGAAGAAAAAAAACGACAATTCGGACTGAAGCGTTGGTGACGGCGATGTGAAGAGTGGTTAATATCGAGAGGGAAGACAATTCAGGAAAGACCCGCAGCTTGCTTGAACATTCTACGGAGCGGCGATGCACAGTTTTTGGTCGGCTATGGTCGTCCCTCGCCGCTGCCCTCCCATGCTGTGGGCAGCCACCTGCAGCACTGCGGCGTCGGCGGGTCGGGCAGCCTCCAAGTACTGTGTACAGTGTACAAAGAAGCAGCGTTTCCGGAGCGGACAAGGCACACACAGTAGGTACATAGTGTGCACACGTTAACCTCCCCCTGGCCACCGACTCCCACATGATGCAACCATGAGAAAACATCAGCAGTTGAGCGGCCTGGGGCAAAAATTGATATGATACACAATAAAAACCACCATGACGAGAGTTCTGTCTGAATTCACGGACCAGGGCTCCTTTCCAGGTAATTGTGCCAATGTATTATTTCTCGCATGATCAACAAAATGCGCAATTGTATTATCTCGAGCGAAGACGACAGGGAAGACTCGAAGCCAAGACGAACTGCTTCAAGTTGGGAAACCATTGGATGCCACAGAGCTGCGAGACCGGCACGCCACGCTGATACCGTTCGGTACGCAGCTGTGTAATCTGGGTGTATTTTACCGGGCGGCATGAGACATTGGCCAAGGGACTGGCCTGACATTGAAATCGCCAAGACATACCTCGAGTGGAGAACTGGAAGGGAGCAAAAAAGGAGGGCCGAGCTTATCGCGACTAGCCAATGCAGGCAATGATTGGCGGCACCACGCTTGGCATGCCCCTCCTGCAGATCCACCTGTGTGCGTGTGTGCGTGTCCGTCTGCGTGTGTGGTGTTTTCTCATGGCCGAAGAAAAGGAACCGCGAGATGGGCAATGGATCCCGATGGCAGAGTAGACGGGTTTGCCCGCTCGGGGTCCAGCGCCGGCTTTGGTTGATGTGGATAAGCGGCCGAAGGAGCTCATCTAAAATAAACTTCGTTTGCGTGAAGCGGACAATTCACGGAGAGCATTCGGGATGTGGCGTGTGCTCAAACCCTGCTCGGCCAACACAGCGTCTTTCTGTGCGACAGAAATCGATGAGATCAACCAGCTATAGCTGGTAGGTAACTGTCAAATGTCGACGGCCGATATCAATTTAACAAAAAGACACGAAGTTCGGGATGCCGCAGCCCCAAAGCCCGTCGGGGTCGTGGAGTCGTTAACTCACCTATTGATGGGAACCTCCGTTCCCCATCAATCGGAAAAGCGGCAAGGACTCTGGCCCGTTGCATCCAGCGGCGCAACTCCAACGCAGAGATGCAGCTGCAGCGTTTTTGTTGTCGTGGTGGAGAGGCCAGATCTTGACGGTGGGTGGAACTCGTCGAGTGATGAAGATCTGGTTAGGCATCATTTGCCTGCCCACGTCAATGTGGACCAAAGAAAAGGAGAGTACTGTGTACTTTTACAACGCACGAGAAACATCGCCGCATCGCCGACGGTTTCTATGTGCCCGTGCGGGACCCAATGAGGCTTCGCCTTGTGAGACGGATCTCGGCTTACCAAAAGTGGGCTGCCCCTCGTCTCTTTGGAGTTAACCGCGACGAAGAGTTCCATTCTGACCGGCTCGAGCAGAAGGCCCTTCGGCCAGCCGAAACGGTGCATCGTCGATATTGCATGCAGCCATACCGTGTTGCAAGAGGAAGATCCTCACACTTTCCAGGTGCCAGGAAAAAAACAATGCGGGCGTTGATGCTCCACGATGGCAACCTCTGTCCTTCCTTCCCTTCACATTCGGATTGTTTATCTTCCCCCGGTAAGCACCGAGCAAAAGGGCACTCTGCTAAGCCGAGCCGGAAGCCAGCCTTCGGATGACCGCGTTGGGGATGGAGTCGGGAACGATGGCGTCGTGGAAATGGTTGGATGGTCCAGACCGTTCTCTGCTTCTTTCTCAAGTTGCTGCAGTTCTAAGTGGTTTAAAACCTCCGTCGCTGCCCAAGGTCTCTCCGCGTTGACCAGAGCAAAGCTTGGCATTCGGAGAACAGAGATGCCCCAACTACAGTCGAAGGGAAGTCGGGCATTCCCGGGCATCAAAGTTATCGGTGATTCTGCTGGAGACGAGGACATGATGATGTTGTCTCCAATCTCTGGGATGAAGTTAATGCTGTTTGGGGTGGGAGCGTGAATGCCGCGAAAATCCGAAGTCAGACAGAGTTCCAAAATGCTCCCCGAGGGGGACGAAATCCATGGGACGGATAAGATTGGGATAAATGCTTAAGAAGTTACTCCGAAATAGTCCGCAGGTCATCATCGCGCATTTGAGGTGAGAACGGACCAGGAGCCCACCACACGAAGACGACAGACAATGCAGGCGGTGTCCGTCTCGTCGGCAACCCTCCAGAATCCCCAAACGGTAATAGCCGCAACCGCCCCAGCCCACCTAGGCCAATCATCGGCCTTGATACGATGCAGGTCTCACGCACCAATTCATGACTTCTCTCACCAGGCGAGGGCAATTGAGACACCGACCGGGTGGTAGGAGGGAATCGGGACGACGGGTTCCGCCACCGTTCACGGTCGCCGCTGCCGCATTTTTTATCTCAACTACTTTTAAAGCAGCGACTCGGGGTCCTTTCCTCGTCACATTTGTCCTTCCTCAGGCGAACACAAAAGCGGCTTCGTGCTTAGCCGTTGCTCGAACCGCATGCGCCTTCCCGGCTTAATCAAGCAGGCTCGAGCACTCCTCATTTTTTCTTCGTTCTTCTCCGGCCGTCTGCAGGGGAAAGGAGCCAGTTTCTGCGGTCGAGGACTGCACAAGTGGCCTGACTCCTCCCATACCTAAGGAACTGCACCGATTTGGTCACAACCCGGCGCAACACGGCACCGCTTAGGACCAAGCGATGCAACCCTACGCTTTCAACTCTTCGCCATGGAAACGTGACAGCATTGGCAGCGTGGACAGCAAGCAGACCAGGCCGGTTGGTCTGTGAAGTCCCTTCCCGGCAATCTCGACGACCCTGCCATCACCAGCCCCGTTGCCATGCACGTCATGCCCCGTCGAGAGTGGGGAATGAGGATGGAGGGCGATCGCTCTTGGTGCCTCACTGTGCCGTAGACTCGCATCTGAGCAACCTCGTGCATCAGACGGCGATGCTGTTGCTGAGCTTCGGCCGTTGCGGTGGCTCGCTGGCCAGCACTTCGCCGGACTGTGACAAAGCAGACACTCTAGCTCCAAGTGAAGATGCTGAAACCTTGGACGAGAGGAACGAAAAGAACGTTACTCGAAAGTCCAAAGTCTACTCTTTATTTGACTCGGTTTCTTTTATTTGATTTATTTTGCTCTGAAGTTTTTTTTTTTGGTTTCTTCTTTTTCTCAGTTTTCTTTTACTTCTTTCTCTTTTCTTGATTTCTCTGGTACCCAGACAAGAAGCCTCACACCGTTCCATTTTTAGCCCCTCCTTCAGACTGTCACCTGCCTGGGCATGTGACGGGGAATTGGCGCCAGGATGGACGGGAGGATGGGCCAGGCGTTTCCCTCTTCTGGCACGAGGAGTCCTCATGTCTCAGACAGCCTTGCTCGCGTCCAGGGCTCAAGCCAACCATTTTGCTGAGCGAGGCACCATTTGCCCCGATGGACCATGTCAAAGAAGCCAACACGCCGCAAGCCCCTTCCCCAATGAAGAGAGGGCATCGCACCACAGACCACCGTTATCTTCTCCTGCCCCGAGGAGCTGGGAAGCACACGGTCCTTATGCGAGTGATCTCAGGCTCTGGTTCGTCACACCAGTAGCGCGGCTCGGCCTTGACCAGAACCATGGAACCTTGTCTCGATGCCACAGAACAGTTTCATGCTCCCCGGGAGATCACAATAAGCAAAGGGTCCGAAAGCTGACATCAAGAAACACCCACCCGGTCCCAGGCCGATACCAAGTAGGTTGGTACAGGCCTGTGGTTCCGGAGAGCATGGGAATTTGCCCGACCGGTATGGTATTGTCCAATTCACCGGATACATGTTACGAATACATCCACGACTGCGTTTCCGGTGTCTCCGGCGTCTCCGCGCGAACCCGACGACAAAAACGCCATTGGCTACCCGTAAAGCAGCGCCACGGCCGGCCCCTAGTCAACCCGACGACACGGTTCTTTCACCCCGGATTTTACGCAGGGCGGCGTTGCGCCATCAGCCTCGTCCCTCCCAAGAACCGATCACCAACGCGAAGCCATCTCACGCCCGGACACTCTCACCTCGAGGGAAGCGATAGTGGTCACTCACTTTGTTCGGCTGCCCATTGTGCTTCGCCGCCAGGACCCATGTCAACCACACATTTTTGGATGACATGACAAGCAAGTCACAATCGTTGGCCAGCCCCCTTTGCAAATTGACGACCCCAGGTAATATCCCACAATCACACTGTGTAATCGTGCATTATCTCTTTCTCTTTCTCTCCGAGTGATATCCCTCTCTCTTTGGTGCGATTGCCTGCCGCTCAGCGTGGATCTTGCAGAAAAGCGCCATCGATAGCGTCGCATCAAGAGCAGCAACATGGTGAAAAGCAAGCATGCCGCACGGGTAACCGAGCATGCCTTCGCTTCGGGGCAGCGCAGGCGCGAGCTAACTGGAGAGAGGACGACCAGACAAAGGACAAGAACAAGAAAATTGACGGAGAAAGCCACCAACTCATCTGGGCTTGGCTTCTTGGCTCCCCCAAGTTGGCCCGCTCGACCCGCTCCTACCATCGCCAAGACATCCTTGCTGCTCTTGGCAAATGCGGAGGCAGCTGGAAGAGGGTTTGGTGAGGGGCACAGGGGGAGGGGAACACAGGGGAACTCCTGCGTAGTGTAAATACATCATGTACTTGTAAAAGGTATTGAACGGCACACGCACTGTGCATCCTGCAACCACCACAATCTTGTCGACGCCTGACACTAACTAACGACCAAGGTCCTGCCGTCTTGCGCGCTGCTATCTGGGCGGTGATCGGCCGGGACGTTGTGGGTATGTCTGTCCGTACATACATACACTGCATACATACATGGATGAACCCCGGAATTACCAGGGCTGGCTGTGGTGTGCGTGTGGGGGAGGGGTTACTTTGATGCTTCTGTGACGGACGGGCCATGGAATGGGGGGGTTTCGGGGATTGTGAGTGAGTTAAACTGTCTCCAGCTCTGGCGAGACATGTGTGTCCGTCGTCGTCTGTCCTATACGACATGACATGGGAATAATGCGGCGGTGTCTCTGGCTTGCGCTATCAATCCGCCATCCACCCCACCAACAACTAGCTTTTGGCCTTTTTGTTTCAATATTGGCCTGAGCCCCTCCGTCCAATACCCAGCTGAACAAGGGCTATCTGCCTATCCGTCTCTGAGACATGCAAGGGGGGGGGGGAAGCCAGTGCTCGTTTTGAGCGGCGGCGACGGCGACGGCGTGGTGTGCTTGCTCAGGGGGAAACCCCCGGAGGGTTTCCCAATGCCAATAGCTCTGTTCTCGGCCGGTCTGGTGTGGCTTGATGTTTTGGTGTGGCAGACCCGGCGGAGATCACGGGTTGGGGATCGGGCTAGATCGGGCGTGCGAGGGTGGTTTGCTCGCGTTGTGATGGGTGGTCTCCTGATTCTGACGTCGGGAAGTGACGGGATGGGGGTGTTGTTTTCCCTGATTTCTTGCCGTGTTAGATGGGCTTGTCGGTTTGTTTGGCTTGTCGTTTTTGTCTTGGGACTACACCACCAAACCACCACCACCACCACCTTGGGCGGCGCGATTCACGGCGGCGATAATGCAGGCTTGTGGATACGAAGGAGGGAGCCGGACATTGCGCGGCCGGGAAAACTTGGCAGCGGCTCGGGCTTCTGCCCCCCAACGCAACACCCTCCGGCCTGCACGGCGCAGATCACCCGGCTGAGCCAAGTGGTATCCTGACAACCCTCTCCGCGTCAACTGCCGCTGATCTCGGGCATATCGGGGGAGGGGGCCGCTCCGTGATCGGGGTTGTCGTCGTCATGGTTTTTCTTATTATTCTCTTTTGTGATATTTTGGGCTGGAGATGTGTACCGGTTACCTTGGCCCTCGACTTCGTAATGATCCGGTGGTGAACCCCGTCTCCCCGCACTTGGAGTAGTAGTAGTGGTCCGGGGATTCTTCCCCTTTCCCATCATGCACGCGCCACTCCCGCCGATACGACGTGACGGTTCCTCCCTAATTTTAACGTCGGACGTACACAGTAATGTTGTAGTATCCCATCACCAGGTTACAGTCAGCCAGGTCAGGAGCGCAAAGAAGAGGGATTAATAATGTCATGAATTTGGCCGTATGAGCAATCTGACGGCGAATGGTTGTGTGTGTACTCTACATGTGTGCAAATCGCGAAGAAGGGGGGTGTTATCTAGGGGGAGAAAGGCAAGCAAGGTCCTGTAGCAACTCCCAAAGCCAGTCGCTTTTCCCGTACCCGGAGACCCAGGGCAGGCCTCCCTGGCGGAGAGAGGTTCTCTCCGCCGGTTGGCATCACTAGGCAAGCGATGGGTTCCAGTGTACCGCCATCTCTGCCATCTCGTCCCATGAACCATGCGCCCGTCCATCCCAAGAGCCATCGTCGGCCCGAACCCCAGATGCGGTGATTCCCCAAACGGAAAACAAACGAGAATCCCAAAGAACAGTGACCCAAAAAGGGTGTGATCCTGAATCCCTGGTCATCCGACCCAGCTGCCATCTAGGAGCTAGGTCCCAAGAGGACCGAACCCAAACCCAAATGCGAGTCCTTCCCCCTCGCGGTCCTGTCCCACTGGCGATCTCCCATCGCCAGTGTTGCGCCGAATTAAATCCTCGGCCGGGATCCATGTCCCAGCCTCCAAAAAAAACCCAAAATTTCTCTCTCCCCCCTGCGGGCGGCTTTCACAACCCGCCACCCTCCCACCCCCTCCGCTACCCATCTAGTAGCGCATCACCAAGACGCCCGCCTTCAGGATATTCCTGATCCCGATGGTCATCCCCTGGTCATTCCTGACCGTGACCGCGGGCGTGGCGCAGAAGCGCACGCGGGCGTGCTCGTTCTGCAGGGCCACGCCCACGCTCACCCCGCCGGCACCACCACCACCACCACCACCAGCAGCAGCCCCGCCGATGGGGACATAGTCCAGCGGCTCGTGGGTCTCGGCCGCGAAGCGGGTGCCCGCGTCGTTCCACACGTACTGGAACGTCAATCGCGACTGGAAGAGCTTGGTCGACAGCTCCCAGGCGCTGGTGGTGATGCCGAAGAGGTCGTAGAAGGCCTCGTTGGCGATGTTGGTTTGCGTCGGGGGCACCGGGGCCGGCGGGAGGCCGTCGGAGGTGCCGTCGTGGGAGGTGGGGGGCGGTGCGGGGGCGGTCTTGCGCAGCCGGGTGAGGAAGGGCCCGATCATGGTCTTGAGGTATTGGTGGTGCTGCGTCAGCTTGAAGTTTTTGAAGGCGGCCGCGTTGCTGCCGGAGGTCATTTCGCTGATGAGTTGGGCACGGCGGTCGATTAGGGTTTGGCGGTCGTAGGCTTTGGAGGCTGGAGAAAGAGAGGGGTGGTTAGTTATTGGGGGGTGTTGGTGGGTAAGAGGGGGGAGGGGAGGCTGGGAGGAGACACTCACGATCCATCTTCTTCAGACGCATCTCCAGCTTCTCCATCTCCTCGTCAACATCCTCTGAGTAGTCCTTCCAGCCCTCGGAACTGCAGATGAAGACCATGACGTGCTGCAGGATGAGGCGCTGCATGAGGTAGGGACGGGAGTCGCGGTTGTTGAGCAGGCGCATGGCGTTCTCGCCACGTGTCTGCTCATGGTTGACGTAGCAGATCTTGCAGATGTAGTCCCAGAGCTGGCCGTTGGCCTCGGATTGGAGCTGCCGCTTCCACTCCTCATTCATGGGCGGCAGATCATCAAAGTAGGACGCGCAGAAGCCGTAGATCAGCGCGAAGAGCGACTGGAACTCGTCGGCCCAGGACAGGAGCAAGTCGGAGCCTTCGAGGTCCGCCCTGACGAGCGAGCCCGGCGTGGCCCGCTTCCGCTCCTTGGGACTGCCCGTCTCGGTGATCATGGTAGTGGGCGCCCTCGGGTTCCGTCTAGGGCCGGATGCCGGGCGGATGGGGGGGACGCTTGATTGGCGGCTGACCGCGGCGTAGCCGACGCCCGAACGGCCGCTGGTGGCCGTGGTGTTGGACGGGCGGCGCTGGTGAAGAGCGTGGCCGCCGTGGTAGACAACAGGCCCGGAGTGCGATTGGGGGATAGGCTGGAAGGGAGAATATCCGACGAAGGGGCCACCATGGCTCTGAGGGACGCCGCTGTAGTAGAACCCGCTGGCGTTGATATTACCAAGGGCACCGCTGCCCGAGCGGTCCATGCTGGGGTGGGCATTGGCAATATGAGAGCTGCTCGAGTGGAGACTAGGAGGGGGCGCCCTGATACTCGAGGCATAAGATTGCTCGGTCGGGGGCAAAGCAAAGGTTTGACCGCTGAGCGGGGTCGAAGAACGGGCGAGTGTATCTAGAGCAGCAGCTCGGTCCTGAGGCTCGCTGTGGACGTTGAGCCACAGATTCCGTTTGCCGTTGACTTGTTCCTGGAGAATCTGGTGTTTGTTGTTAGTAAACAATGTTTTAGTGAAAACAAAACAAATAGCCGAGTGAGACGGAAGGAAAGTACTTACCGTCCGAGTCATCTCATTCTGGCGCAGTTGCTCCTTGAGAAACTGTGATTCGCTATTAGCTACTCCTCCACTTCAAAGAACATGAGATGAGTGGCATACTTGAATAGTCCTCACGTCCTCGTCGCTGCGCCCGGCAATGGAGGACAGGGTTTTCTCGGCGTTCTGCGAGCGTGACTTCCAATCTCTAAGATCGGCCTCGAGGTTGCGGATGGTAGACTCGAGGGTGCGGACGCGTTCCTGCTCAGTAAGCGCCTTCTTGAGCTCGGCAGTTAGGCGGTCGACGGCCTGATTCATCTTGACCGTGTTACTTATGAGCTCTTGCACGTCATAGTCGAATGACTTGAGGAACTCGGGCGGAATCGCATTCTGGGCATGCATGCCCTGGCGAAGGCCCCAGACGCGCGCCTGCAGTTTGCAAATCTGGTCGCGATGAGTCTGATGTCGATAGTTGTTAGTATATGTGGATGGAAGAAGAGAAGGAACGGGTTAATTGAGATGGGCTTGGACGACTTTACCTTTTGGAAGGGATGGAGATTATCCTCTTCCGCGTTGAGGCTCATGACCTGCATAGCGCTGATGAACGAATGGGTAGTAGAGCCCGGGATGAGAGAGCGACTATGCGGCTGGGAAGAAGCCGATGTAGAAGAAGGAGCAAGCATGGGAAGGCTGCCTTGACGCTGCGAAGAAATGGCGGGGCCCGGATAGGCGGACAAGCTGAGAGAGGGTGCGACACCATCGGCCGAGGTGGCAGTCGGGTGCGCGAATGCTTTGGCCGCAGCCCGCAAAGTCGACTTGGAGAATGACCGACGCGGCTTGATCGGCGCTGGGGTCTCAATCGCCTGGTCCGACGGCGTTCTGGGGTCTCGCTCAGTGTCGACAGCCGACTCGACCGTGAGGTTCTTACCAATGGAATCCTCTAGTCGCGGGACAGTGGGCTGGGCGTGGGAAGGAAAATCCTTGTTTTCTGCGCGCGAGGCGCGTCTCTCCGGAGACCAGGCGTAGAGAGGCGCGCCGCCGGAGCCGACGACACTCTCGTCGTCACTGCTGGAGGAGCTGTCGCTGCCAGAACGAGAGCCAGCCATTGTTGCTTGTGTGGTGAAGTTGTTTGAAAGCGAAGAGAAGAGAGGCAAGAAGAAATACCGCGGATGGCGGAGTTGGGTTGCGAGCTTGAAAAGAGGAAACCAGAAGAGGAATTCTGGAGATGGGGGAGGAAGAAGAAAGAAGGGGAGAGAGGGAGGAGAGAGCGGGGGGATATAGAAGTGCAAGAGGCAAACGAAGAAAACCGGACGAGGAAAGGAAGAACCTCTTATTGGCTGCCTGTTTCTTTCTTGATATCCCGATAATCAGCCAGCTGGGAGGAGGGTGCCGCTTTTAGCTTGCTATGATAAGGGGCATGTGCAAGGCCAGGAGCTTGAGGGCGCCACAGCCCACTTATACTGGGTGGTAGGAGGCAGCCCTTGTGTGATGTTAGATGTCACCTTCAAGTCAACTCTGATCTTTGATGAACACCAAGACAGGAGGGACTGGTAGGAGACATAAGCCACTGGGTTGTTAAAGCTTGTGAGGATTTGAACCAGGGGGTGAGGAGTGTGGCGGGGGCCTCACGGGATGAGGATGCTGAAAAGGGAAACCAGGGGGGGGGGGTGGGAAGTGAGCGTTGGAAATCAAATTTTCAGTGGGCAGAGGAAGGCAATCTAATGAATCTAATGACCCCTGGGTACCTTAGGAAGGCATTGGGCGGGGAGTCCCAGCAGAAGGCCAAAACTCCAAGATCTTTATGGAAGCAACTGGTATTTGATTAGAATAGTGATCTTGTGGTAGGGTAGGGCTTAACCCCTTGGGCATTAGGGTAACATATCCTCATGTGAATGCTCCTAGACCGTGTGTGAGAGTGAATCGCTTGACTGTGTTGCCCCTCCTTGTCTTCAAATGTCAGACGGAACGCAGTGACCAGGGCCTATCGGCTCATCGTTATCGGAAGAGCAAGTGTCCAACTGGGCATCCTTTCTTGAAAGTTGGGGAGCGATCTTTGACCATGGCAGCCAAAGATACCCTCAACCAAGCCCCTGACCAGCAACCATCGGGGCTTTGTGACCAAAGGCAAGATGTCGTCAAAAGGAGGCCGACTTGCTCTTTGAACTCGGGTCGAGACAATGACAGTTGCTATAGCAACCTAGTCCTTCTTCCAAGTTGTCAAAATGGAGAGGGGTACAGGTTGTGGCCGCGGTAACGATGTGGTTGAAGGGGTTATATGTCTGAGTCAACTGGGGACTCCATCGCCGCCAATACTACAATCGACAATGGCCCTTCCCCAAAATATCGAGTCAGAGTGGACGAAGCTGGTAACCGTGTCCTCGGTTGCAAGACGCAAATAACAGGCGACTCAGAGCGGGAAGAAGCGGCCCAAGGCCTGGGTATGCGCGTTGTGGCAGTGGTTGGTGAGTATTATCCCCTGGCGGACAGGAAACGACAGCGTTGCTAACGGCAGATGGTGCTAGCTTATCTTCGGGAGGCACCTTGGGAGGTTTTAGGAGTCAGTGGCTGGTAAAGCCAGTGTCCAATCTTTGACCAACACCAGGTAGCAGCTGTCTTCTAGGAGTCAGCATAAGCAGCAAGGCAAAAGGAAATAATAGGAAGGGAGAAAGTATAAGAAAAGCTAAGCTGCGTGGCAAAGGGCGAGTAAGATACAGCTCATGTCGGCCAGCAAAAGCAGAGTCCTTCGGAACGGCAACAGACGATACAGCCCACACTGGGAAGAGAAGGACGATAAGAATGAAAGGGGTAATAACAACAACAAAAGGGGTAACAGCGACGGCGACGGCAACAACAACGGCAACGGGCGGTGCAGCCACGGGATGAGAGAGCAGAGAGTGTCCGGACTCACGGAGTACGGAGTTAGGACAGCCATGCCTGGTCGGAAATGGAATAAGGGGCAGTCAAAGGACAGTCCGTACTGAATACATGAAAGCTAGTGAGAGGAAATAAAGTAAGATACTGATAGTGCCAAAGCAGGCGGAACACGAAGCTGACAACACTAGTTCACAAGCAAAGAACCTCTGAGTGAAGGACGAGAAGATGGTGTGGCCCTCTATCACTCGCAGAGGCAGCAGTTGCACAGAAACGGGCTTCAAAGCAGCCCAACAGGGACTGAAAGAGGAGATATCAATGCAGAGACATGAACCCAGAATATAAAGCAGAGCCGGTGATGGAGAACAGTGCTCCAACAAGCCAAGATTTAGGGAAAAGGGAAGGCGCAAAGACAAAGAAAGGGCCGGAAAGAGTGATTCCTTACCGACGCCCGGCCGCCGAGTAGCTATCCCATCCTGGAGCCGGCTGATAGGCACTTCACAGAAGGAAACAAAGAAACAGGAATCGATAAACGTCAAACTAACATTTACCTATCTCTCTGTGTGTACATACCTGAGCCGGTAGGTCAACCCTTAAATGGGCAGCTGCCCGGGAAGTAAGGTTGACAATGAGATATCTCATCATATATAACCACTTGGTTTACGGATCAAGGGACTGCCTTGCTCCTAGCCTGGTGCGGAGTGTAGGTAGAACAAACAAAGGGCAGAGTGTGGAAGAATGGTACATGCTACCTACTTAGTGATATCTCGGTGGATGAACACCTTATTGGCAAGGAACAAAACATGTGGAGATGGCACCTAGGCAGGCTACGTTAGCCCTTCACGTGCATCCAAGTGCAGCACACGACGATAACAAGGGTAAAGACAAGGCTCAGGCTCAAACTCTATATTTCGAAACTACCTAGAAGAATTAAGCAAGTGGTCATACACAGAGGGACCGCTTCACCTCTGACGGCAGAACCGCCATCCTCTGCTGATGCGAGTCTGTTTTGCCTAGCTACAAAATCAGCAACGCCAACGCTAGACGGGAGGCTTCATGATCGCGGTATTGCCGAAATCGTAAAGCCGGAATATTGGTCGAAAACGGAGCGGAAGGCTGGAGCGGTTCTGCGGGCGGAAATCAGTGGGATATCGACGGTGCCTACCCAGGCCGCTATGGTGGTCAAGACGGGAGTGATGCTGGCGAAAACGACGTCGGCTCCTAAACTTTTGGGAAATAATCCAACCAATATCGACATCGAAAATCGAGATCGTGGCGTGTAACGAAGCCCTTGTACGGCATGGCTGAACGGGAGTCTAATGCCATGTCAGCACCTGTCTGGGGGGGACCTTGTGGGGAAGGGTAACTGACCTTTGTGGAATTCCTATGCAGATAGCAGGGGCCCGTGATTAGTGTCTTAGATCGCCTTGGTGCGAGAGAACAAACTGCTGTAGACCGCGTCCACAACCGGAGCAGCAGTGATCATCCGTCCGTCAAAGTAACGACCGTTGAGGCCCTTGATGGCGTTCTCTCCGCCAGAGACCTTATCGAACTTGAGGTAGATGTCGCCTTGGGAATTGGGGTCGAGAGAGATGTGAACGACGTGACCGTATTTCTCCTCGGCTTCTTGCCGGACTTCGTCTTCCAGCTCCTTGGCCCAGTCGTCGCCCACTTGCCTGGCGGATGTTAGCGATCCTGCTTCTGATGGTGGGGAGTAGAAGACATACTCAGCAGGGTCAAACATGTTGCGGAGCACCACGCAACGACTCGCCATGCTGACATTGACGGGGAGGGGCTTCGTCTCGGTCTTGGGCTTGAGAATCTGTCGCTCGGGTTGGCCGTTGGTTGGCTCGTCAGTTCTTGCCAGCTTCCGCATGAGGGCGTCTCGGCTGTAGTTATTAAAGTTGACGCCAGCGACGTCGGTATCGTCCAGGGCACTAGCGCCCGTACCCTTCTCGTTGTCTCGGCCGCCGGCGCGGTCAAAGTTGGACGCCTGGGGACCTCGGCCCCCGGCTCCGGAGAATGAGGATCCCTGGAACTGTTGATTCTGATTCTGGCCTTGGAATCCCCGTAAGAGGTTGGCAGTTGACTCTGGGGTGAACTTATCGTTTCCAAGCCCAACACGAATGGGACGACCGGCCAGGTCGAAACCGTTCATCTTTTCAAGCGCCTCACGGGCCTGGCCAGCATCGCGGAACCTGTGCAAATGTTAAGAAATGACCTAGCGGCAAGGGGAAAGGCGGATACGTACTGGACAAAACCGTAGCCTCGGCTGCGACCGCTGTCGTCCTTCTGGAGCTGTACAAACTCGAGCTCACCAAAGGGCTCAAACACGTTTTGGAGGTCTGTTTCCGTGATACTAAAATGGATGTTGCCGACATAGAGCCTGTGGAAAGGGACCGAGTTGGGGTGGCCGGACGATTCCGAGTTCCGGACTTGACGGTTCTTTTCGGCTTCGGTGGGTTGAACAATGACGGGAATACCTAGGAGTTTCTGACCGGTGAGCTGGAGGGCGGCCGCAACGGATTCTTCACCCTTGAACTCGACGTAGCCAACACTAGAGGGAGGGTCAGTTTTGATGCAATCAGCGACGAGCAGAAGAGGAGACGTACCCTTTAGACCTGTTGCTAACACGGTCCTTTACGATCTGAGCTTCGGCAACGGGGCCAACCTTTTCGAAGAATTCCTTCAACTCGCGGGTACGGAGGCGAGCGGCCAGCTGCTGGACGAAGACAGTGCGGCGATCGCGCTCGTCTCCGGTCGGTGAAGTATCGCGGGGAGTGCTGTTTCTGGCGGCACGGTGTTCTTCTTCGCGGCGGCGATACCCGCGATCGTCGCGGTCGCGACGGTCTTCTCCGGGCGGGCGGTAGTAGCGATTGGGCGAGCGGGAGCGAGAGCGGCCACCGCGACCGCGGTTGCTTCCACGGTAGTAGTCTCCGTCGGTTCTATGACGACGTGAGTGTCGGCCAGAATCACGGCTCCGGCTCCGACGCCTACTCTTGTGGCTTCCGGCCTCACTCCTCGGGGTATTCCGCCCGCTGGACGAGTTTCGGTGGCGACCGGCGCTACGATCTCGGCGGCGATGGCCGCGGTCTCGGTCTCGGTCTCGGTCGCCATCTCGGCTGCGGTCACGGCTGCGTCGGTCTCTATCGCGCTCGCGATCCCGGTCGTACTCGCTGCGGCTTCCGGTCTGGGGTGAGTCGCCATTAGCGGTGGTAACCTTGCCGGTCTGCTCCTTGGAGGAAGCAGTCGAGTCAAGGAGGGCTTCCACGTCCAGGCCTGACATTTTTGGCAACTGGTTCAATGACTCAATCAACCACTATTTCTTGTTTGCACTGTAAAGTCTCTGGGGTGCAATTATGGAAGCTGGAACGTGTCGCGATATTTGCAACTTGGCGAGTGAAATTGGTCGGTCGACGGATGCCTGAAAGAGGAGAGAGGCAAGCGGCAATGGCAAATGGGCACAATGGAATCGAAATGATGTGTCACGTGAGAAATTCGCGCTAAGTGCAAGTGAAAGTCTGTGTGGGTACCGTGTGGACACAGTATAGCGCACGGTTCGCAGGTCACCATTTCTCGTGGAACTTGGGCAATCATATCATGACTTGCTTGCACAGATTATTGTGACGAGACAGGTATGTCATCCAAATCTCGCGATATTAACATTATGTATTGTAAGAACAATGATATCAACAGTCCAGTGGGAGGAAACTAAATCCCTGAAGACGTAATATCCCTCACTTCCCTAAAACCGAGAACCCAGACGCTCGGTGGCCGCCTGCAGAGGAGAGAGAAGAATGGAGCCCGTCGGAGCTTCAGCGAGAATAACTGCTCGGAGATGTCGTGATGTGTACGTGCCCGCCTCATTACAAGATATATGTACCGAGCCCCAATCATTAACTCATGTATTCCAATCCATCTAAATCTTCTTGGGCTTCGTCACAAGCTCAGTGCCGAAAACCTTGTCCCAGAGGGGGCTTGTGACGCCAAAGCCATTCTCGTAATCCAGGAAGTGGTGTTCGAGGTGGTACTTCTTGAGCTGCTTCCACCACAGCGGGAGGTTTTGGTGGTGCAGGAAATAGTGTGTCATGTCGTAGCAGATGTAGCCGAAGACACCGCCGCAATAGGCAGCTGTCCCCATGTACCAGTCCCAGAAGAAAATGCCGTGTGCCACCTTCCAGAACGGGAGGGCCAACGCAACGAAAAGAGTTGGCGGCATGACTAGGCGGTACTTGTCCATGGGGAGGTAATGGTGGATGCCGTGAAGCGTGAAGTGGAGGGTAATGCCAACCCGGTTATCGGGGAGGTAACTGAGAAGGATTAGCAGGCGGGAGGCTGGTGTGTGGGAAGAATGTGACTCACTCATCCAAGTGGAACAAGAACCGATGCATAATGTACTCGATGAGTGTCCAGGCGAACAAGCCAAATGCGAAGCAGCCAGCTTCCCCGAGGGGGCTGGTGAACCCTGGGCTGGCAATGTAGAGGCCGTAGGAGACACACGGCAGCCACAGCGTCGGGACCACCCACCACGCCGTCTTAGTGAGAGGCTCGAGGAAGTTGCCAAACAAAGGGGCCGACTCTCCACCCTTGTAGTGTCGCGGCCGGTGAACCTGGTCGAGGTAGAAGTCTTTGGAGAAGCCGCCAAACCAGACTTGCGGGAACAACGGTCGGCTTAGGTCGAGAAACTTGTGTGTCTTGTAATCGGAAGAGATGTCGGTATCCTTGCTCAGGTCCTCCTCGCAGGACATGCCCGTCCTGGGATGCACATAAGTGCCGTTCGCGCCATTCGATTCCCCATTGGCCATGCCATTGCCATTCCCAACCTCTGCCTTTCCGTTGGCAGACCCGTTGGCGGGAGCGAGGAATCCGATGTGTGAGTCTTCGAGAACCTCGTAGGCCGCTTGGGAATGTTCGTGTGACGCCTCGTCCTCGAGGATGTCCTTGATGTCCTTGCCGGCGTACTCGAGCACCAGTTCGCCGCCGCCGGGGTGCGCATCGATGAAATCGGTCACGTCGTAGACATTCTTCCCCAAGGTGACATAACAAGACTTGGCCGAGTTATGCGCCTCGACCTCGGCGAGGGTGAAAGTTGGGAGTGTTCGGCCAGGCATACTGGTGATTCCCATTTCAGGGCAGTCGAACTCGATCGAGATGGAGGTTCTGGCATGCGCTTATGCCCGGCAGTTTAGGGATACGGAGCAGGTCGAAGAGGGAAAGCAACAAGTGTTGCTGGGACCAGCGCAAATGTAAAGTCAAAAAGGAGAAGTCAAACAAAACTCGGACGAAAAGAAAACTCCAGGCCGCTCCCAGTCAGGGGAGGAACGAACGAGTCCCGACTGTTGCGGAATAGGCGGGATCAGATTTGGGCCAGGGGTCCAAGAAAAGCGCGAATCAGAAACGCGAAATCTTTCGGATCCGCGTGAAACCGCATCGAATGACAATGGCGTTACTGCCGGTACGTAAGCTCGCCAAGCTTTGCGGAAGCTGAATCACCCTAGTTAACGGGCAATTTGGAAATCGTCCGATTTGGGCTCCGTATCGGGTTCGTTCCGCAACCGGGATCCGAAGAATTGGAAAGAGAAAACGACGGAGCCCGGGAGACGATGGCTGTTGTGCTACTCTCACAAAAAAAAAAAAAAAAATGGCACTAAATCAGACACAAGCTTGAGTGGCTGGCTATATTATGTACGAAGCACAACCCAAGCATGAGAGTGGGTTGAAGTAACCTGGCAGTTTCACGTTGGTCCTGTAAATATGGACTGTACGGAATATGTCGTTACAGAAGCGCATCGTGCGTTGAAACATCTTGACTCTGCCATGCAAGTATGCAACAAGAAGTTTTCAAAATAAAGCATGCTAATATCGGTAATCGTTCTAGCAGAATTGACCGAACAGCTTCCGAATCTTGGCACCTCGGTTTGCTGAGCGCGTGCGAGCATGGCGGGGGTTCAGCTGCCCCTCCTTGAACCCTCGTCAGGCTTTCTCTTGAGCTGGAGAGAACAAAGGGTTGTATTCTTAAAAGCTTAAACGAAAGATCGGATATTTTTACCTGCTACTGGAGGCATGGAGAGATACTTTGAGTGGCTATGAAGTGTTATTATTGTTATGTGTTCAGCATCAAAGGGAGGCGGCCTTTGCAGGCAATAATAGAGAAGAAAAGAAGAAGGTTGGATCTGACGTAAAGGAATCTCGGCTCTTGGCGCCTCGAGACCACCAGCAGCATCCCTCCAGCGTTTCCAGTTTCCAGGCTATCACATAATTCAGCTGAGACTGTGTAGGGACTTCAAGAGAGGCCGCCATCTGTGGGTTACTCCGAGTTTGCCATCTAACCGTCTACGACTCGGACTTGTCATTCGAATTTCATTCCTGCAGCCTGTGACCGACTTCCGGGAAAGGAACCGTCGAATCCCATTCCGCAGCGCAACCAGGATTTTCGGCTATTTTTCTTCTTTTTTTCTGATAAACACAATCAAAACATTATGGCGAACTTTAGGCCGGGCTGGGGCAATGCGCTCTTGGTCGTTGCCTTTACTGCCTTGTGGTTTTTCCTGGAAAAAGCGGCAGCGTTCGGCGCCGGCAACATTCCCTCTATCGCCCAAGTCGAGGGTCACAATTGGAGACATGGAGGTTTGTGATGATAGGCTTATCTTGCCGGCGCATGGCTGACGCTTTGCCCTAAAGATATTGAGGATATGCTCAAGACGGTCGCCTTTCTTCACGGCAAGAAATGGACGACCATGATGATCGGGCGCGTTTACTTTGGCAACTGGCTGAGAGATTACTCCCAAGCCATCGATGTCGGCAGTTTGAAGGGCATCAACGCGGCCACTATCCGAATCATTGTGAGTCCCTCACGACAAGCTTAAGCTTCATGGCCAACTTGTTGACGTGCCAGGTCTGGGTGCTCTCCTTCATGGCCAACGGCTATGCGACGGAGGAGTTTGAGGTTACCGAGGAGCGGCTGGGTGTCTACCGACCCGAGGAGCACATCGATAACCCACGTGGATATGCTGACGACAAAGATGCCCGTGAATATGATCCCCGCCTGCGAGGTCCCATCAACCCCAGAGAGCTCGAGATTGATCCTCGCACTGGGATGAAGAACTACATCGCCAACGAGAGCGGCGGTTGGGCCACGAGTGCCGGTTATCTGCGCTGGAGCTTCGCCCGCAGCATCCACTTTGCCCGCGTCTATACCAGCGGAGCCGGTGGCACGTCTGGCAAGGAGGCCGACCTGTGCGAAGCTCTGCGGTGCCTCGGCCAGGCCCTGCACTGCATGGAGGTAGGTCTTACCGTGGGCGGCAGAGTGACAGACGACGGACTGACCGCGGCTAGGACTGGGGCGCTCACACCAACTACTGCGAGCTGGCCCTCATCGAGCTGGGCCACCACAGCGTCTTCCCTCACTGTGGCAGCGCAACCCAGATCCACCTGAACGGGAAATCGGTCTATCCTCTTGTTACTGGTACGTAAATAGGGGCAGGGCAATAAGCGTGCCATGTGAGTCGGAACTGATGGAATCTACAGGCACTTTTGGAGCTGTGGACTTCTTGCACTCGGTTCTCGGGTAAGCCTGTCTGATTCCCATCCGCCCATCCTAGGTACACTAACCCAAACCAGCGAGGCCACCGACCACTTCACCCAGTCCGAAGTCGACGAGATCGACATCGCCCTCAAAAACGCCGAGCAGGCCAACAACTCCAGCAGCGGCCAGCGGGGCTTCTTCGGATCCGGCTCGGGTGGCGGCGGCGATTTCATTTCCATGCTGGGCCAGCTCCCTGGCGTCGGCGATGGTTTCGCTTCGCAAGCTAGGGATCTCAAGGCTGCGTCCGCTGCCCAGGAGAGGGAGAACGCGCGCGACGCCAGTAACGCAAACATTATGCCCGGGATGAGCCCCAACTTCGACCCGGTCAAGGTATCGGGACAGATCTACCCGATCATGCAGTTCCGCGATAGGATCGTGCGGTCCATCAACAACATGATCTCCAAGGTTCCGGGGCTGGAGAGCCTGCTTGAGCACATCAGCGAGACGCTGACCGCCTTTATCCTCGGCCTGTTGGCACCCTTTGTGCGGCCCATCATCAACCAGGTCAGCAAGGCGCTCAAGGAGGGCTCGTCGGGCCTGATTGCCACAAGCGCCCAGCAGCAGTTCGAGCCCTGGAGCAACCCGCGCTGTTCCGACCCGACCCACTCGATGCTATCCAAGGACCACTTCACCAACATCCTCAACTCGTGCGGCGGCCGTGTGTCCGTGACCATCCTGCAATACGTCGTCCCGTAAGTTTCCTTCTGTCTCCGTCCCTCTTGTAGTCTCCTAACCTCCCCTTGACACGCAGACGCATCATGTACGCGTGGGAGAACCCCGGCGTGCCCGTAGACGAGGTGCTCGACGACATACTGCGCGCGTTCCACCACCCAGCGGCGCGCAACGACCAGATCGAGATCCAGCGCGAGATGTTCGAGACGGTGCGCAAGTGGGCCCAGGAGACGCCCTACCGCAGCCGCCTCGACCACATGCTGTCATCCGAGTCAGTCAAGAACCACAAAAACCACGTCCTCAGCGGCGAGGCCGGCTCGCGCTCCGTCTCGGGCGGCGGCGGCCACCCGGGGGGCTGTGGCCACGGCTCCGACGGCGGGCACGGCAAGCCGGCCGGGTCGCTGTGGTCGCACATCCAGAGCGTGAACCGCGACGCGCGCGAGCTCGGACGCGAGCCCAGGCTGCGGGTGGCGGCGGGCACCACGCGCCGCCGGCCGATGCACGGCCAGGCGGCGGACGTACTACTCGGGCAGCGGCCCGCAGACGCCGCAGTCGTATGCGGGCACCCCCGGGTCGGGGGGCTACGCAGCCAGCTACGGGCACCCGACGCCGGCCTCCCCGCGCAGCCCCCGTATCGGCGCGCACCAGGGGTATCCGGCCCCAGGGGGGTTATGGACAGCAGCACCACCAGCACCAGCCGCCGCCGCCGCAGCCGCAGTACGGCGGTCACCCCCAGGGCGGTGCGTATGGTCAGCCGCCGCAGCCGGAGGGCCTACCCCTCCACACAGCCAGCAGCCGCCTTCGTGGGGAGGTCATTACCCGCGGTATTAGGGCGGGAGAAACGGGTGGGTGAAGTGTGAGGAAGTGTTATGTAGTAGGAAGGGGCTTGTTTGGATTGTATTTGGGGTATGGTATTTTGTCGTCCATAGTTCAGATTTCAGACCGGTTTTACAGAGACGGACGCCCGTCGTGAGGATTTGCAAAAATCTAGTCTAGCCACCCATCCGCCCAAACGCCGTCCGTCCCCGCTCCCTGTCTGTGCCTTGAGCGTCTTTTTATTCTTGCCCAAAATGAGTCTGGCCCCCCTGTGCTATGCAGTACCCAACGCAATGCCGTCGCCAACCGACTAACCCACCACAACTACCTTACAGTACAAAAGAGAAAAGCAGACGGTTCTGTGCATAGTATGATAACGTTCTGAACAACAACAAAAGCAATAACAACCAACCCGCCAAATTAGCAAGTAAAAACAGTAAGGCAAGAGAAAAAGGGAGAAAAGAAAAACAGAGAGCCAGAAAGCCAGAAAGCCAAAAAGATCGTCACCACCACCACCACCACCACCACCACCACCACCGCACTACCTCCCCCTCCTCCTCGGATCCGCCGCCTCAGCCCTCCTCATCTCCCTCACCTCCCTGGTCCCCAAGCTCCCCACGCCACCCTCACTCCTCCTCTCCCACCCCCCGAGCCTCACCACCAAGCACGTCGCATTATCCCCATCCGCCGACACCTCGGTCGCATACTCGACCACCTTCCTTGCCCCCTCCTCCGGCGTGGCCGCCTCCTTCACCACATCCACGATCTCCTGATCCCCCAGCGACCCACTGACCCCATCGCTGACCAGCACCAGGAAGGCAAACTCGGCCGGGCGTAGCGCCACGCGCACGACGTCCGGCTCGGCCGACACGCCGATGCGCTTGCTCTGCATGTCGCCAAAGGCGCGGCTGTTGGCCAGGCCCTGGATGCGCTCCTCGCCGAAGGAGTCCGTGACGACCGAGGTGGTGACGTAGCGGCGCAGGCGGCGCGACTCGGCGGGCGAGGACGGGTGGTGGTCCGAGGTGAGCGGGAGCGGGCGGCCCGTGGCCGTCTCGCAGAGGAGGACGCGCGTGTCGCCGACGTGGGCGACGACAAGTGTGGAGTGCGCGGCCGGGTGCCAGAATGGGGACGGGGTGGGGGTGGAGAATGAGGGGCTCCGAGGCGGTGGACCCGCCTTTGAAACGTGCGGGCCCGCCGATGCCGTGGCCGGAGGGAGGGAGGTGCGGGGAGCCGAGGATTTCGTCTTCGTTGAGGGGGATGTCGGAGATGTAGGGGTCGTCGGGGTCGGGTTTGCGCGCTTGGGCGGTGACGAAGTCGAGGTCGGCGCGGAGGAAGGCGTAGATGAGGACCGATTCGAGAGATGGGAGAGACGGTTGAGAGAGTTGTTGGGAGGTGTGTGTGGCGGGGTCGGAGAGGGAGGATGGCGGATCGGATAGGGAGGAGGAGGAGGGGTCGCGCATGGACGGGGCCATGGGGGCGGTGAAGTAGTTGGGGCGAAAGCGGCGGAAGTAACCGCCGATGGTGCGCTTGTATTCGGCGAGGAGCGAGGATTGTAGCCGGAGCCCTTCCAAGCCGGCGTCGGCGGTGGCGTCTTGACTTTGACCTTGGGTTTCGCCCGGGAATTGTGGTGCGGGATCCCGCTGGCCAAATATGGTTTCCGGATCCCTCATCGAGTCGGGAGCCCCGGGGTCCCTCTTGAGACTGCTCTCTAGCCCAAACTCGGCAGCGGCCTCCTCGATGTACCCGTGCAACTCCTCCCGTAAGAATTGGCTACACTCGCTGCCGCCGTGGCCATCGAAGACGCCAAAGTAGAAGATCTGCGGATCCCCTAGGGCGCTGTCGGCGCTGGTGCCCTCTCCGGCTGTTTTTGCGGCCTGGTGGCGCACCAAACTGACGGGCACTCTCTTTGCAAAAGCGGGAATGCGAATGGTGCCGGCCTGGTTTGTATCCTCGTTGTAGCAGCGCTGTCCGCGGGACTCGGAGACGCCGAAGTGGTGCTTGGCGCTTCGGAGCGGTATTCGGACGACTGTCAGGTCGCGGCTGGGCATGTTCGGAGGCGCCACGGCCGGAGCGGACCCCGGCGCCGGGGTGTGGGGTGTCGAGGCGGACCTGGGTAGCTTATGACCGGGGCCGGCTGACGACCGGGAGTCCGGGTGTAATGACGACGAAGGTAGGTGGGTCACGAAGTAATTGTGGAAGCCTCGCTTGAAAGAGTGGCTGATCAATGGCTGGCTGTGCTGGCCGCGAAAATCCGTCATAACTCGGAGAGGCGTGGCCGATGTTTGCGCCGGGGCCGGAGCCGGGGCTCGGAGGGGCCGTCGCGATCGGGCGGCTCGTAGTGCGCATGCCGACATGCTAGGGTTTCTTGTGTGTGTTGTCTGGTGGACGTGAAATAAGGTCGCGACATAGCCCACGAAGGCATCTAGTAGGGTTTCTGGTTGGGCTCGACTCGCTCGTCTTGTAGTTCGGGGAAAGCTGGAAGAAGGGGTCCGACGACGGAAGGAGGGCATTGCTCAGGCGACCAATTCATGCAAGTTCCCGACCAGTAGTAGTACGAATCGTACGGAGCAGCTGGGTAGTCGTAAATCCACCGCCATGGCACGGCAGGAAGTTTGGTGGCACGTGTATTGCTAGCTTGCTAGGGCTGAGATTGACGTCGACGTTGGCGTTGGTATGGCTCGGGTTATTGGTTGGGGTGTTTCCAGGTTATTATGTTGAGGCAGTGTGTTGTCCCCCCGCCGTCGTCGCCAACACCCGCACTCGCCGCCGCTTGGCCAAATCCAAGAAATACGGTTTGGGCAGCGATTGGTGGAAGCCCGTCAGTGTGTTCTTGGCAATCAGGGGCCAGCCAAACTGCTGCCCCTAATCGAACCCTGAGTTTACGATGCTCACAGCGGAGCAAGAACGTCATTTCAACATTTTACAAGTAACAGTTTCAGTAACATTCCTGACATTCTAAGCATTCCCTAACCCTGAATAGTTCCGTGGTGGGGGATCTTGGCTGCCTGACTTTAACTTCTTAACCCAGCAACATAACGCAACAACTCACTTGTCGATTATGTTCGGATTCACTCCATTTCCATAGTGGACTGGAAGACTAGGCTACTTCGAGGTTGCCAACGCCGGGGATCCGAAGCTATACCACCCCCCAAGATCTACCTGCATGATCACCACCACACAAAATGGACGACGCGGCAGATGGCCAGGATGGCGAATCGGCCGATCTGGCCACCAAGCTAGGGTTTCCGATCGTTGACATCGTACCTGATGGAGACATCTTGCTGGATGTCACCTTTGAAACGTCCAAGGAGACCCTGAAAGCGGCGAGGAAGGCGGCAAAACCGAGACCCGGACAAAAGGTGACTCCGCCGGTCTTCAAGGCCAGGAACCGAGTCGGGTACAGAGTGCAACTCTCTGCTCTGAAGCAGAACTCAAAGTATTTTGACAACCTGCTCAGCGATACGAGGTTCGCTGAGGCCAGGTCGATAGAGGAAAGCTTCCAGAGGCTCTCGCTCAAGAATGTGAAACCGTCCGAGGCAGACGCCGGCGATCTTCCCCTGGTGAAAATCCACGAGGATGACGAGGCAACCCGGTCGGCCGGTCATAACTCGGTCTTTGAAGACCTCTTGCGGATTCTGCATAGAAAACAGTCTACCGCGAAAGCCGTGACGATGCAGCATTTGGCCGTGCTAGCCCTGCTTGCTGACCGGTTTAACTGTATCGCCATCGTATCCAGGTATCTAAACGCCTTGAAGTACAAATGGCCCGCTACGCAGACCCGGGTATCCCGAGACGACGGTCCTACCTTGTCCAGGGCAACCGAAGAAACTCTCCGTCAGAAGATCTTGGTTGCCTGGCTGCTCGACCAACCTCCCAAGCTGCAAGTTGCCACCCGCGAGCTCATCATGTATGGTTCACGAAGATGGAGTGAGTACTTGGACGAGGAGCAAGAGGAAAGCTACGCCGCAGCATGGTGGGATTTACCCGACGACCTTGAGCGTAAGGCTTCCAGCCCTCGTCTCTCACCCACCACGCACTAACCCCCCTGCTAGAAGAACTCCACCACCGCCGCGAACGCATCCTCACCACCATCGCCTCCATCCAAACCCACTTCCTCGGACTCTACACCTCGCGCACACGCCAGTGCAAGCTGGGCTACGACTCCTCGGCAAGCTGCGACTCCTACCAACTCGGCGAGATGATCAAATTCCTGTGCTCGCGCAACCTGCTCTTCCTAACCTCCTTCACCCCCTCCCCCTTCCTATCCCCTTCTATCTCATCCTCCACCCTTCCAGAGACCCCTGACATCAGCACCACCGACATCGGCTCCATCCTCGCCACCCTCAAGCAATGCCCGGCCTACCAGATCGACAAGAACCACACGCACTGTGGCCTGCGGGCGCGCGCCCTCCCCGCCGTCGAGTACGTGCAGGCGATGCTGGCATCAGGGGCTGTGGCCATTGCGCGGCCGGCGTGGGTGCGCGATCGGGAAGGGGCCGCGTGGCGGTCCTCTCTAGGCGTGGAGGGGGGCCACGATGGGGATGGGAAGAGGGAAAGGAAGGTGTTTCGGTTTACGAGGGGGTTGGCGACGGATCAAAGGCTGAGGATGGAGGGGGCTATGGCGGTGGATCGGTCGGCGAGAGCGCTGTTTACAGCGGATGAGTGGGATTGGTCGACGGAGGATAGGGATGAGACGAGGGGGGTGGAGTTTGGACGATGGCCGGCTGCCAGGTGATATCACCAAGCATCTGCAGACAGTCCCGAAAGAAATGCTCATGTATCCACATTCTTGGGCCATATCTAAGCCAACAATCTTCAGACTCCCTTTTGCGGTATTCCTGGTCTACACCGAAACCAGAGTCACCTCGCCCCTCGCTTTCGTCTTGCCCTCAGACGACTCGCCTGCCTGACTTGCAGACTTCTGGCTGCTCTCCTCTGGTTCTGAGTCTGCCGCCGGCAACTGCGAGTCCTTGCGCTTCATCAACGGCCAGTGGCCCTTGACCTCGCGGTACCTCATGACGAGGAACGACACGATCACACAGAGCCAGTACAGGTTGTATGAGATGACGGAGCCATAGGTGGCCGAGTTGGTCCACCCGAAGATGGCGTTGAAGAAACCCCAGCCGCTACCGCCGTCGAAGTTTGGGCTGCAGCACTGCACATGGTCAGCTTAGTTTGTAGGTGGGAGACGCGGAGAAAACCTACGTTGACATGCCACACGGACTGGTCAATATCATACGATCCCGGACCCATACCAAGCTCTGCAGCATCGGCTCCTATCAGTTCTTGCCAAGTGTGCTGCTCAAAGGCCCACACAGCTCGCGAAAAGAGGCCGGCAGCGACAAGGTAGAGCAGACATGTCGAGATGACCAAAAACAACTGCAGTTTGGCCGTAGAACCGCCCCTGCACGGTACCCAATCAGCACCACCCACCAATTCCTTCCACCAGGGAGATACTCACTTGTAGAGTCCAAACCCAACCAGCGCCCCGGCAGCGAGTCCCACAACCACAGCCAGCGGCACTGCGCTCGCGGGCGCCGAAAAGGTCACGCCGGCAATAAACACCACCGCCTCGATCCCCTCCCTCAAAACAGTCACAAACGGCAGCACAAACATCACATACCTCTCCATCCACCTCTTCACCCGCCCACCCACACCCACACCCAACCCCCCTTTCTCCCCCTCCCCATCCCCACTCTGACCACCACCCCCCCGCACCCCTTCCCTCCATAACCCCCGCCAACTTAACCCGCCACTTATCCTGCATCTTGCCGATGCGCAGCAGGGCCGCGCCCACCACACTGATGATGACACATGCGACCAGGGAGAAGGCGCCCTCGAAGCGCAGCTCGGATGCCTCCCAGGTGTTGGCGCCGGCCGTGTAGAAGACGGCGATGAGGGCGGCGGCGACGATGAGGGTCAGGAGAAGGCCGAGGACGGTGCCGAGCCAGATCTTTTTTTTGGGAGAGGGGGGGAGGGGATTAGTTGGTGCGTGAGGTGGTTAAGTATCAGGTGGGGGAAGGGAGGGTTACCTGGCGGACTAGCCTTTTGTGCAAGGCCTTGTCATTTTCGAGGGTTTGTTTGAGAAAGGCGAGCAGGACTGAGACGATGATGACTGTCTCGAGGGCTTCGCGGAAGGTGACGAGGAAGATGGGGACGGAAAAGACGTCGGGCATTTTTGGTGCCTTTTTTTTTTTTTCTTTTTTTCTTTTTTTCTTGCTTCTCCTTGTGTGTTGATGTTGGGTGGTGTTCAAGGAGGGAGGCTGTGGGTGAAGAAAGAGGGAAGCGCGGTTATCTGATCGGCGATGAATCTACGGATCAGATAACGGATTGCGAAGGCGCCGGGGGGGTGGGGTGGGTGCTTCACTTGAGTGTCACGAGCCTATCGGTTGATCTCAGGGTGCCGAACAAGAACTTCTTCGTGACTCTTTCCCGCGGCCTGGTCCTTCTCAAAAGGGTAGAGTGCCGAGGGTCTCAATACCGCTGAACATGGCCCAGGGTCCCATTTGGATTTCACCCGGGTCGCTCCCTCTTTTCATGCATCACCCACCGAGCTCATCAAAAAACTCAGGTCTCGAAAATAGGTACCCCATCTGGGCTGTAACCACTTGTGTCCTGGGATGCCCACGCATTCTCATTAATGCAGCTGAGATTTGACTTTTCGTATCATACTTGTCATACCTGCCATGCCTGCCATGCCTGCCACGCCCGACTCGACGCCGCCAAGCACGCGAGCACCAAATAGCGACCCTGATCACCGCCAAGGGCCGCCAAGTGTGGCCAAGTGTAGCCAAGTCTGGTTAAGCATTGCGGATTCCTCAGTCTCGAACATGGGTTCGGCCCCTGTGTCCGATCCTGTTTGTGACTGCACGAGGGACAACATTCTCGAACGGATATTGCGCAGGGTAACCATGACGGGGTGTACCTTTCCGAGCACCTCCCGGACATCACCCGCGAGGGGTGAATTTGCTTGGAAAAATGCCTCCTTCTTTTTTTCCCCCGCGCCAACCTCGGATCTGATAGGCGGGCCCCGAGCGATTATCTGATTTCGAGATTTGATTGATAAGTGGCTTGCACTGCACTTGCACGATACTGGCATTTCTAACCGAGGGCTATGCCGCTTTTCCGGTCATACCTTCGCGGATCAATCCGAAATCTGCGAGGCAGTTGAGAGGGAGTCAGTTACTGAGTGCTGCAACAGGAAGTTGAGCTCGCAGCAACAGCACCGTCACGATCATGATGGACTATCACCTGGGACACAACCACTTGAGACGTTACCGTGGAGCTGCTATCATGGCCCGGTTGGGGTTTACTTTGCTGGGATGCCTCCTCTGGCACGCCCTCCCAGCGGATGCTGCTACCGTGACCCACGACTTCAACATCACCTGGGTCACGGCAAACCCCGACGGCATGGCAGATCGTCCAACTATTGGCATCAACGGACAGTGGCCAATTCCCATAATACGAGTCAACAAGGGAGACCGGCTCGTCGTCAATGTGTTCAACTCTCTTGGCAACCAGTCCACGTCACTGCACTTTCACGGCCTCTTCATGAGCGGTGCTACTCATATGGATGGACCTGTTTCAGTGACACAATGTCCCATTGTCCCAGGGGGGCGCTTCACATACAACTTCACTGTAAGTTTTATTGTTTTCTGCTCTTCTTTTGTTTTTCTCTTTTCCTAATGCGTCACTCAGGTCGACCAACCCGGAACCTACTGGTATCACTCACATATCCACGGGCAATACCCCGATGGCTTGCGGGGTCCTCTCATCGTCCATGACCCAGAGTCACCTTTTGCGGACATGTACGATGAGGAGGTCGTCATGACGGTATCCGACTGGTACCACGACCAGATGCCCGCCTTGCTCGGCCCTTTCATGAGCAAGGCGAACCCGACCGGCGCCGAGCCTGTGCCAAATTCAGCCTTGCTCAACGACACCCAGGACTTGGCTGTCCCGGTGCAGCCGGGCAAAACATATCTCTTCCGCATGGCCAACATTGGCGCTTTTGCCGGTCAGTACATTTGGTTTGAGGGCCACAACATGACCATCTTGGAGATTGATGGTGTGTACACTCATCCTGCCGAGGCGTCCATGATCTATCTCGCTACTGCTCAGCGATGCAGTTTCCTCGTCACAGCGAAGAACAATACCTCCGGAAACTTTCCTATTGTTGCAAGCATGGACACGGTACGTGGGGACCGAATCTATCTCGACGGTCACCAGTTGTTGACGTGATAGGATCTATTTGACACGCTACCGGAGGACCTGAACTGGAACGTAACCGGGTGGTTGGTCTACGACACCGCGAAACCTCTGCCTGACCCCGCCGTTCTATCCGACCCCTTTGAGCCGTTTGACGACATGGGTCTTGTCCCGTGGGACAACCAGACCATCCTCGGCGAGCCAGACCAAACCATTTCTCTTGACGTCATCATGGACAACCTCAGCGACGGTGCGAACTAGTGAGTCTGCCATCCACTCCCTGCCTGTTCACGAACGCGTACTCAAATAAGCGCAGTGCATTCTTCAACAACATCACCTACGTCGCACCCAAAGTCCCAACCCTCTATACCGTCCTCACCGCCGGCGAGCACGCCACCAACCCTGCTGTCTACGGCACGTACACACATCCGTTTGTTCTCGAGAAAGGCCAGGTCGTCGATATTGTGCTCAACAACCTCGACCCGGGCAAACACCCTTCCACTTACACGGCCATAATTTTCAGGTTATCTGGCGCTCAGCCGACGAGGCCGGCACCTTTACCGATTCCGACGTCACGGCAGCCGACTTCCCACGCATCCCAATGAGGAGGGACACGGTAGTGCTGCATCCGAATGGGAATATGGTGTTGCGTTTCAAGAGTGACAATCCAGGTAACCCTACCCCTGTTTCCTGGCCCCCTTTCTGCTCGCGTAACCCCCCTCCCCCACTCCCTTACCATCTCCCACTCCCCAAACCACACACAACAACATCACAAAAAGCTAATACAACCCACAACCACACAACATAGGCGTCTGGCTCTTCCACTGCCACATCGAATGGCACGTGCAGTCCGGGCTCATGGCCACCTTCGTCGAGGACCCGCGGTCCATCCAGCAGCAGACCCTGTCCAATCTCGCAGACCATCTCGACGTCTGCACGAGAGCGGGCTTTCTGACGGTCGGAAATGCTGCGGGGAACGGGGGGATCAGTACTCTCAAGAGTGCCGATCAGAGTGCGCGTGGGTGGTTGGACCTGACCGGTGAGAACATGCCGCCCGCGAGGTTGCCTGAGGGGTATGTATTTGTCTCGCCCTTTTCTTCTCTTTCTCAATTCCGTTATCGTGTCTTTTCTCAAGGGAGAAGCCGCTGTTTGTGTCGGTTGACTTGTTGGGTTTTGTTATGCGGTGCTGACCAGGACGGCGAATGCAGGTTTACAACGAAGGGGATTGTGGCGTTGGTGTTTAGCTGTTTGAGTGGGATACTGGGCGTGACTGTTGTTGCGTGGTACGGGTTTGCGGGCAGCATTGGAGAGGAGAGCTCCCGGGAGGGCCCAAGGCAAGGGGTCGTGCAGGAGGTTGATGGGGTCAAAGGGGAAGGGGAGAAGGGAGGAAGCGAAGGTGTAGTTGTGGGTGGAGGGGCAGGGGTTGGCTCAGGCGGGGCGGGAAAGGGGGGGAAAGCTGAGTGATATGTTGGTTGGGTGTGTACTAATATTACGAAACGATTCAGGTCCACGGACGATTAAGTGGATAAGTCTTGGTTTGTTTGGTCCGGCAGGGAGGGTATTGGACTCTCAACGGGTACTACCCCCATACCCTAGAAGTAATGTTGTGCAACATTCCATTTATTCAATTCTTGACTCTCCGGCCATCCTCCACCCACGTCCTATCACGCAATGCTGATGACAAGAATAGCATGGAAGCTACACCGAGTGCATTAACTGGCCTTAACCAGCGCTACCCCCTTACCACTTCTCGTCCTTAACCTCATCCGGCGCTGAAAGAGACCGAAGGGTCGTAGTCCGGCTCATCCAGTCCTCCATTTCCGAGTCAACCCTCCCCAACGACAGATTCGGCGCCGCCACCCCTAGCTGATTAATATTGCCGCCACCACCACCACCACCACTCCGCAACCCCCGTCTCCTCGACCTCAGACAGCCGCAACCGCACCACCTCCTCCGCCTCAGCACAATACCTTACCAGCGCATCCACCACAACCCGAAACCCCACCTCCCCCGGGTCCCCAAACCTCACCATACCCCTATGATCCGCCGCGATCCCCGCGCGCTCCGCCTCATCATGCCCCGCCGGCACCGCACTCGACACCGGAACCACATAATCGCCGCGCCGCGCCGCGCCGCGACCAAACCAACCCGGAAGCGCCGTCGGGTGCAGCTCATAAAAGTAAAAGACGCGGAAGCGGGCGGCGAGCGGGGCGAAGAAGTCGGCCGTGTTCTGCAGCGTCTCGGACTCGTGCTCGAGCGCGGAGACGAGCGCGGACGGGCGGCTGCGCTGGCCGAGCGAGGCGGCTGCGCCGAGCCGTTTGAGCACGCGCAGCCAGGTCGCTTTGGGGGTGCCGTGGTGCGGGGTGCCGAAGAAGAGGATGCCGTGGGTGTGGGTGAAGATGGCGTGCTCGTGGGTGACTTTGTGGGCGGTGCGGGTTTGCGCGTAGGTGAGGGCCTAGGTGGGGGGTTGGGGGTTGGTTAGGGGGTGGGTTTGGTTGAGGGGGGTTGGTTAGGGGTAGGTGCACGTTGTGTGGCTGTTATAAGAGTGTTCAGTGAAAAGGGAGGTGGCCTTACCCGTTTTACGACGATGCCGCCGAGCGAGTGGCAGAGGAAGATGATGGGCTTGTCGGCGGTGCCGGAGAGCTGGTGTTTTGTTTGTCTTGTTAGCAAGTCCGAGGTTTAATCAGGTGGAGTTGGCGGCAAATACACTTACCAACCTGTCCGCGGCTAGGTTGGCGACAAGAGTGTGTGCATGGTGGTGGATTCTGTCCTTGGACGGAACGTGGCCCGTCAGGGACGAGAAGCTGGCGTTGTATCCCCAGACCAAAACTCGGGCGTTTTTAACATATTGGGGTAGAAACCGAGGGTCATTTAACCAACAGATCCCCGAGTCAACTGTTGTCCATGTCCCGAGAGCACTCCCGTTAAGGCCGTGGACTGCGACGATGCTGAGAACAGCAATAATCAGACTGGGCCCGACCGGGGATTGGTCATGGTGTTTAAATAATGTTGTTGGCAACTCACTCAACTTGCGGCTGGATGGGCGCTGGCGGGTGGTATATCTCTCGTATACCAAAAATTTCTTCCTTTTTAAACGTTTGTTTTCGTCCCATGCTTCCTAGTCAGCAGGGATGAGGGGTTGAGAGAGGGCCTCGACACTTGTTAGAGAGAAGGAGGGAAAGATAACTACATGTGACTTGGAAGACAAACAGGCTGAGGCACCGAGGGTACTTCGCGCTGAAAGCTGTTGCGGTTCGGGCTGTCATGCAGCCAACTCAGCTTCCGCCAAGGCAGGCCTCCGAGTCCCTCGTCTTGTCTGTCGGCCGCCCCGACTGCAGGTAACGAACAGTGCGAGTACCCGCTGCAGTGCCTATCTGATGAAACAAAGCTGGAAAGCGATGCCCTATGGGCTGAAGTTCTCAGCCAATGGAGAGAAGGGAGCATACACCAAGAAAGCACAGCATTACTAATAATAATCTCCATCCAGATCTCAGGTAGTTCCCAAAACCCAGGATTCGGGCCGCCTTGATCAGGCGACCTAGCAGCCGGACCGGCCGTTCCCACCGACGGAGACTCTGCACCCGTCTGCGCTTGAGAGCACAAGCGTCAGCTTCTGCCTCTCAGACCCGACCGGCTCTATGACTTCCCCTGTGGGCAACTTAATGATGGGAAATTCTTGGAGTAACCGCACAACCGTGTACGAGACCTCCATCAGAGCAAAATCCTCCCCAAGGCATTGGCGAGGACCGCCGATGAAGGGGAAGAATCCCCACCCGATCTTGTCCAGCTCCCCCGTCTCCCAGCGCTCTGGGCGGAAATCGTCTGCGTCGGGACCAAATATGTTCTTCCTCCGCGAGTTTACGTACTGTGAGAACACGACTACTTCCCCCTTTCTCACCATTATCGGGCTGGCCCCGTCCGGACCGCCGCCCGTAGGCAGAAGGGTTGTTTTCACGGCCTCACGGTTGTTGAGCGGGACCGGAGGGTAGAGCCGAAGGCTCTCCTTCACGACGCAGGCTAGGAAGGGCATCTTCCGGATCTGATCTCTCGCGGGGTTTGTCAGTTCCCCCATAACCCCCTTGATTTCGCCACGTAGTCGTTCCATCACTGCTGGGTGGCGCACTAAGAGACGGCTGGAGCATGTCAGTATCCGGGACTTGCTTGTTTCTGTCAAGGAATTCGATGCGCTGGGACTTACAAAGTCCACGACAGGCAGCAGGCGCTCGTGTCCCGACCAGCAAGCAAGACGTTGAGGAGCTGATCTCTGAGTTCAGTCTCGTTGGCGGATTCTTCGGCAACCTGCTGGATGAACCAGGAAGCCGAGTCCTGGCTTTTCTCGGCATCTGCCGCCCGCTTTTCCATGAGCCGCTGTTCCCGGATGTACCGCTCGACAAAGCGGTGGACGTTGCGGCAAGCCTGGCGGAAAGAGGCGGGGTTGTAAATAGCATGGAACGGGGCCAGTCGGAAGCGTTTTGCGAGGCCCTCTTGTGCGACGTTGAAGCTCTCGGCGAACTCTCGGTTCTCGGCCGCCTGATCAACGCCAGCGCGGAGGCTGTAGACGGACCGGCCGAAAAGCAGCTCCGTGGCCACATCCATGGTCAGGTCAAAAAAGAGAGGCTGTAGATCGACATCACCATCGGTGGGGATGCGGTCGATTAGATTGCCGACATGCTCGTGGAAATAGCGGAGATCCTGATACTGCGCGCGGACGAACTGCTTTCTAAGCAGCTCCCGCGAATGCTTCCAGGCAGCGCCTTCTTGGGTGAAGATGCCATTTCCCAGCAGCGGTGCAAAGACGGACGGACGACAGCCAAAACCATAGTCCTTGAAGTTGGTCGAAAGGAGCGTTTCGACGTTTGCCGGGTGCAGGATGTGGTATGCCCGAGGCCCGATGAGCAGATACTGGCACAGGTTGTTACCTGGTTCGTAGTCCTTGGCTATGGAGCACAAGAAGGCTAGGAGTCTACCGTCGGCGTTGGACTCCCAAAGCTCTTTGATGCGGTCAATGCCTAGGGGCCAGCGCTTGGTTAATTCGGGTGGAAGTTGGCAACCGTGCTGACGGCTAAAGATGGTATCGTCCTGGCAGTTTCAGTTTCGTCAGTGACTTGACAGGAGTTGGTGGTTGTTATGACTGGACGGAAAGTGATAAAATGGTTGATGGTTGATGGCATTTCTTACCCTGTATTCTTTGGCACTTTTATAAACCACTCGGATCAGACGAGCAAGAGCAAGGCTCACAATGCTGAGAAGGAATGCTTGAAGAGCCCGGGTGTTTGTTAACAGGGGGCTCTCGAAGGCTTGGAACAATGCATTGTCCATTTTTCGCTACACAACACTATGGATGATAACAAGATGGCAACGAAGATAATAATAATAATAAAAAAGGAAAGAGATAAAAGATATAAAAGAGATAAAAGGCGAGAAAGGCTCACGGCACACACAAAGTATTCGGGTTTTATTTGACTTCCCCTCTCATTTCCAAGATGCCTGAACTCCCAACAAGTCCAGTCGCACCCACTCGCAAGCTCTGTACCAGATCATCCCGTGTTTGATGTGAACACCCGAGCATTTCTCTCCAGAGGCGCATTGCCGGCGGTTCAAACTCTATGCTGATTGGGCCGTGGCTGTTGATCATGCGCTCCGGGCCGGTTCCCCAACGTTGCACTGTTCTTACCCACCATTTTGCACTGTCGACAGGGCTTTGAGAAGCCCAAGTCACACTTTCCGGCGTATCGGTATGCAGTTGGTACCACCTCCTTGGGAGGGAAGACCACTCTGCCTCTCGGGATTCCGAGGTTCATTCTTCCCAAGACATGATCCATCCATCCCTCTTCATGTACATGCATCATTATTCTCCCCCACATCGGTAATGAAGCGCTCGCGACGCCGTCTCAATTTGAGAGCATGCCGCTTGGTCTTGAATGCCTCCACGACCTCAGTCATGGCGCAAAGCGCGAAGATCACCTAGTTGAGTGAGTCTACTGTGAATTACTGCCTTTTCCTTGCCTTGCTAGCTCCTTGCCCCGCCGCGTATTGCCTTTTTGCCTGACTTGTGGCTTATCCCCTGGCCCCGCTTTACTGTCTGAAGCATGCTCGGGTGTGCAAGAACACCAACTACATATCAGATACCTAACTAACAAACCCCTAAACAGCATCGTTGCCGTCCACGATGTTCACCAGGATTCCCTCGACACATGGACTCATCAAACATCCGGCATCAACTGGCTACGCGACCTCCTCCCACAGGATGTCCGCGTCGGCAGGATATTGTCCTATGGCTACGATTCGTCAGCTTCGACCTTGCTTGCCGACGATGGCCCCGAGACCATCCAACGGATGGCCGAGTCGTTCGTTCAGGAGCTTCGCGCAGACAGGCAGTTTGCGGGTACGTTGAGGCGCCCCATCGTCTTCGTGTGTCACGGCATGGGTGGCGTCCTCGTCAAGAAGAGCCTGGTCTATGCCTCGACGCGGACCGCTCCTAAGGTCGCACATCTCTGGGACCACTATGTGTCGACATTTGCCATTATATTTTTTGGGACCCCTCACCGGGATGTCGACAAGTCAAGTTGGCTCGACTACGAAGCCATGTACAAGTCGACACGGCACCAAGTGGGTGCCTTTTTCCGGACCGCGTCAGGTAAAGGTGACTCTCAGATGCCTCGATTGGTCGATAACGATTTTGCACCACTTGTAAAACAGTTCCACTTGTTCTTCTTCTGGGAGCAGCTCCCAACTCGATTAGGCAGCCGATCTGCTCTCCTCGTGGACCACCAGTCGGCCGCCCCAAAACTCGATAATACCGAGACAGCGGGGATTCATGCGGCGCACCCGGATATGTGCAAATTCGGTTCTAGAGCATCGTCGGATTATCGCACCGTCATTGCCGCTTTGGTCACGTACTGCGAAAAAGCCCCCGGTATCATATCCCGCCGATGGAGACAGGCAGAGGGGGCCCTTAAACAACTCAGGCTTGGGGAAGTCGAGGAGATCGGAGGCTTCGGGTTTGACGTTCACTTAGAACAGCCATACCGAAGTCAGGATATTCGTTCACAGGGCGATCTAATTCACTTCCATATCCCTGAAGAGACTTCACCAACATTTGTAGGCCGCGAGGACCTACTGAGGACCTTACGCTCCGCCTTCTTCCCCGGCGATAGCCCGACAACTCGCCCTGGCCGGAAATCGTTCGTTATCTTTGGCATGGGAGGGTCTGGGAAAACGGAACTGTGCTCCAAGTTTGCCACCGACAACAAGCTTGAGTAAGTACCGCTGTCGGTCAACGGGCCAAGCGCCGGTAGTCGCTGATAAGTGGTACTATAGATACACCGCTGTGTTTACAATTCGCGCTGCTTCCCCCGAGACGGTCAAAGAGTCGTACTGTAGCATTGGGCAGCTCGCGGGGCTGGAACCGACCGAGGGTGCTGGAAAGCACGTCCTGTCGCAGCAAAAGCAACCATGGCTCCTAATCATCGACAATGCAGACGATCGCTCCCTAAAACTAGCACGCTTATTTCCCCCCGGTGGCTCTGCGCATATCCTTATCACAACAAGAGTCCGAGACTTCAGTCAGGAAGGGACACTCGGGTCTCTCGAACTCAAAGGGCTTAAGGAGGCAGAAGCCCTCCAGCTGTTGCTCACAAAGGCCGATATCCCGCGACCGTGGGACTCTTCAACTACCAAAACGGCGAGGCTAATTGCCAAGGCACTTGGCTACCTGGCACTGGCCCTGATTCAAGCCGGGACTTGTGTGTATAGGGGAGTCTGCGAGCTCGGCGGCTACCTCGAAATACATTCTGTGGCGAAACGCAGGCAACGGAAACAGGCATCCGGCCCACATAACGACCCTATCAGCGACGTTATCGAGGTCGTCTACTCGACCTTTGACGTCTCTCTCGGCGTCCTCGAAAAGCACGAGAGCGTAGAGAGCCGAGACGCAACCGAGTTGTTGAAAATGATGGCCTTTTTCCACTTCGAGTTTATCCCTTTGCAGCTGTTCTCTCGGGCGGTCCTAAATCAGGATAACGCTCCTAGTCCCGGGAGTTCGGCATCATGGGCATCAAGTTTGGCGAACGACCTCTTTCGCCGCTTGGAGCCCCCGGCTCCCTTGCCCGGCTTTCTCAAAGCGAAGGACCAAGAAGTAGGGAAGCAGCGGCTCAGGTTCGCGCTCGCCGACCTCCAGTCCCTTTCTTTCATCCGCTTCGATGGGAAGTATATCTCACTACACCCGTTGATCCACTCGTGGGCGAGGGACAGCCTCACCACCACACAGAGTCCTCTCTGGGCCTCGATCGCGCTTCACACCATTATGCGATCTATTTCGCTGCCACCAGTCAGTAATACAAAAGAGGACGGCGAGTTTCATAGGGACATTCTCCCACACCTCGAGACCTGTTTGGCGGTCACCGGCAACCCGATATCGCCAGTTATACGTGCAATAGGAAAGTTCCGTCTACGGATTTCCATGTTCCTTCAGCCGACGTTTCTTATCATAATCCGCGACCAAGTCCGCATGCATGCCAAATGCGGCTGGGTGTTCGCCGAACGAGGTCATTTCGACAAGGCTGTTGACCATCTCCGGATCGTGAGGGAAATGCTTGTCAAACTCGTGGGGGAGGAAAACGAGAAGACAATGAACGCAACCCTCGGCTTGGCCGGAGTACTATGGGGCCTAGGGCGTCTGGAAGAAGGAATCAACCTGGGACGCTCCGTCGTCGAAACAAGGACGCGTATATACGGACCGAGGGATGAACGGACACTCGGCGCGATGAACAAACTAGGCCAGTCTTACTGGCTCAACGGGCAGTATCGCGAGGCGCTCGAGTTGCAGGAGACTACCTCAGAACGTATGAAGGAAGTGCTTGGAGAGAGCCACCCAACCACGCTCGAAGCCCTTGACAGTCTCGGCGTAACCCTAGGGGCGTGGCACCGCTTCCAAGAGAGCCATGACGTGCACAGGTTTGTCCTCGCTGCTCGCATCCGATCCCTAGGGCCAACCCACCTCGATACGCTCAGCACCAAGTCCAACCTTGCGATGGCGTTACTCGACCTCGGTCTCGCTGATGAGGCCGAGGCCGTCATGATCGAGGTCTACACACAACGACAATCCCAGCTTGGAAAAGAACACCCCTGGACGCTCTGGGCGCTCAGCTACCTCTGCAAGATCCACATCCACCGCGGCCAACTCACCTCGGCGGAAGAACTTCTCACCTGGGGCTTAGCGGCAGCAACACGGAGCCTCGGGCACGACCACCTCGGCGTCCTAATGGGACGGGGCCATCTGGCGGTCATCTACGCACGGACGGGCCGTCTGGAGGCCGCGGAACGGCTGAGCGAGGACACAGCGGCGCGCGTCGAGCGCTCGCGCGGCGCCGCCCACCCGGACTGCGTCTACGCGCTGTGGCGCCTCGCGCGCCTGCACGTGCTGCGCGGCGCCCGCGCCCGCGCAGCCGACACCTGCGACCTGGGCCTTCGCCGCGCCGCTCTACGCATCTCCATCGACCACCCTCTCGCCGTCCAGCTGCAACACCTGCGCGACGGCTTGCGTGACCCGGATGCTACTACTGAGGGGCTGCTAGCGCTGGGCGAGAGGGAGGGTGGGAATTTGGCACGCCCCTGATTAACTTTGGGGATTGTGATGACGATAAGAAGGCCGATCCGAAGTTTGGGAGCCCCCGGGTTTAGGAGAAGAGGGGCTGGGATGCGGCGTCGAGGCAAACTGGAGGGTCGTTTGATCGAGGTTCGTTGAGACTAGGTGGGAAGATCGCGACTTGGTGATGGGAGGATGGGTTTCGATGGTAGCCTATGCGTGAATCTGAGCTGAGAGATACCCTATGGTGTTGAGGTAGTTGGTGGGCTATGAGGAATTGGTTGGATATGATATATTAACCGGGATTTGAGAGATAGTGTTGGTGAAGAAGGCTTATCTTTTGAGATAGCATTCCTTCCTCAAGTAGTTACTGGGAACTGATGAAAGACATTGCATTCGTAAGTACCCAGTCACCCACGTCTGGCCAGAAAAAGGACGAACTCGAAAAGAAAACACAAAGCCAAGGCGTAAAGACAAGAAAGCTAGATAGAGGAAAAGAGAAGGCGCGGTTACATTGAGCACAACCCCTTGTGTCTGCCGTCTCGAATCGCTTTTATGCATCCCAATTCTGCCCCCAATCATGGATGTTTGGCACCCAGGCCTCAACGGCCGCCGACTCTGGCGTCAACTTCTGGAGCCCCCGGCTCCTTTGCCCGGGTTTTCTCCCTCATCCGCTAACATGGCAAGTATATCTCGCTACATCCGCTGCTTCACTCGTGGGCGAGGGACAGCCTCGTGGTCACCTAGGGCCCTCTCTGGGCCTCGATTGGCCTGCACGCCATCATACGATTTTACACCGATGCCACCGGGCTAACGACACTCTTTCCGCTACTCAAGGCGTGTTGTGCTATCCTATATCGCCAGAACCCACCCCGGAACGCAATGCAAGACATGCTTCGGAGAAGAGCTATCTATTGACGCTCAAAGCCTTCGACAGGCCTCGGCGTGAATTCCCAGGGGGCATGGCACCGCTTTTTAAGAGAGCCATGGCGTACAACGTAGATTCGTGCCCGCGCTGCCCATCCTCCTGCGCTCTCGGGTCTCCACCTCGACACGCTACATCAACAAAATGGCACCCTCGTCATGGCGCTCCTTGACCTCGGAAGTCTACACCACCACCAGGCCCAGTTCGGTAAAGAACACCCCTGGGCGCTCTGGGGCGCTTCAGTTCCACCTGCTGCAAGATCCACGCCCAGGTACAGCTAGCTCATCCCCCCGGTAGAGCCACTTCTGAAATCCCTTTCTTCTTGTCGTTCCTTGAATCCCTCAGCATGCAATGTCGAGCATATATTGTAGATGGATTGGAAAGCTGACAGTATTGGACTGGAAGGGTAATCTTTATCTGATCTTTATGTTCGGATACGTCTGATACCGATAAATTTTTCGCCCATGATATCTAATGGAGCCACTCAAACTCGCTATATGCAGTCCTAGTATACGGGATTTGAATCGAATAACAGCTCTTGACTGTATTGGGTTCTTCTTCATTATTGGTTTCACCCCTAGAGCCGTCTGAATCGCCCTGAAGCCCGTCGGATGCGACGTTGATCCCATTGGTTTCGCCTGGTAGTAATTTCTTAGCATTATCGAGTGTCTGCTTAAACGATTTCTTGGTATTATCGAGAGTGTCTTCTTTTGGCCGGCAATGGGATGGGGGAGAGTGGTGGATTCACGTCGTGTACCCTGAGCGTTGCCCGCCTCGATAGGCCCATCTTGGGTAATAGAGGAG